TAGGTTTTCTTAATAATCTCAAATTCACATTATAAATACTGTTTGAGAATAAGAGACTCCGTTTAATAAGGCAATAAAATATCTGACAAGTAATGTCATGAAAATTGTATTTAAGACTTCAAAACTTTCCTGCTCATAATTATTTGTACTAGTGTCATAAAACATCTGGAAAACTCTAGCGGAACGTGCTCATACTCCCAGTGCAGTAGAACCTAATGGGTTTACTGCCGGGAGAACCCCAAAGTAGATTCGAAACGAATATCAGATATGCGTAAAGCATTGAGTACAAAACATTTACTTGATTCACTGCAACCCAAAACCCGTGTGACAACATGCAATGACCATACGTGCGCACTCGGCCTTTAAGACAATGCTTGCATTGTTCTTGGCTATGCCACATCTGGTCGATCGTATTGGAAAATTGACCACGCCCAAGCGGATCCTTCTAGCCAAGTCCCAGCGAGGGATGAGGCAACCAAAGAGAGGTGACCAATGGAAAAGGCTCGCCACCTTCCGACACTTTCCCAATTAGCAAATTCGGAACTGAGCCCGGAAGGAAGTGGAAATGAAGGCGTGCATAATCTATTGTGCGACCCAAGATCACCCACTGATTGGTTAATTAATACAGGAAGAAGGGATCCCAAGTGGAGCGGGATCAGTGAATCATTTTAAGAAGGGACTACGTAATGTACCCTCACTTACTCTTTCCAAATACTTCTTACAGTGAAGGATAAGTCACGACCAACTCTCACGGAGGAGGACCGGAGAGATGAGTCGTTTAGCTAGCTGAGTTTTAATAATAAGTTCTTTCCACTATTGTGAATTAGTGTACAGTTGAATAGATCTCATCAAGACTGGATTGCATAGGACCTGACCACTTGTAATCTCACTTGGAGACAAGGAAGAACTGAAGAGTTGCAACATTGCAAGGGAACGTAATAACAAGCCATCGAAGAGAGACTGGAAAATCACGATACACTGCAAGTAAGTCCTTACAGCTAGTACTCATTCTTGATTTCTCGGCTTATGTAGAAGACGGACGGATAAAGTCCAACTACGGAAGCTTCCCGGACATACTCTTGAACAAGACCAGCTATAAAAGCCACATTGGCTTCTCAATCCCTTCAACTACAAGTTGTTCCCGCCACAGATGGCGCACAGCTTCGCATAACCTGCATTTCGGCTCTCTTACGACCGATATTTAGAGGCAACTACACACGTGGTAAGATAAACACAATAGCATTCCAGTGTTCGATCAGAAAACTACAATCACGATAACCTCTTAGTCATAATATTCAATAGATTATAACCTGCTTCATTCATAGTAAATATATTTCAACACCACAAGATTATCAAGAAATATAAAGTTCGTCTGTAATTCACCCTTTTGTAAATCAATTCAAATAAATAGAAATAATAAAGACATGTGTTAATTATTAGTCAGTGCATTTACCCTTTACTTGCCCGTGATGGTCAGCCTTGCTGCACGCGCGGTCAGTCTAGGCGTAAATGCGGTACGCCGGACTGTGTATATGACCTTTCTTTTGTTTGAAATTCATGGGACTGCTTCAATCCCGAACATATATATATATATATAAAGTATAAAAAAATTGTTTGCTTATTTTTATAAATACAATCTAACATTATTTTCACTTATTTTTTCCAGTTATTTAAATTTATTGAAGAAATTTTTTTTAATCATTTTGTCTAAAAATAGAGTAGCGGGCTAGTAGGGCCAAATATCTAGAGTTAGGTTCAAACTCCCAGATGGTGGAAGGGAGGATTGCGGGCAAGTGGACAGGATAGTGCATGTATTCAATAATAAATAGATTTGGTATTTGTTTTAGTTTATTGCGATAATTGCATTGATTGTATTATAATGATTTTTAGTTTATGCTGAATGCCTTCGTTTCTTGAGTTTTGTATTGCTATTGCAACAGAGCTGTAATGTGCGTTGCATGTACAGGTAGAAGGGCGCAGCCTTCTGGTCCTCTATATGTAATACATGTGGTGGTGGTGTTATACACATAGAAGAACAAGGTCGTAAACCCGCGTGCTTCCTTGTGTAGTGGCTTGCCTTTAATATCCCTTTTTTTCGGATGTAAGACAAGGTGGTTTTTGCTTATATTTTTATGGCTTGATTATGCTAGAAGTATTATGACTTGTCGTCGATAGATGCTTTGTGGCGAGGCCCTGTCAAATGTCTTGTAGCATTAGTTTTATGACATGTTTTGATGGACACTTGGAACCTTGTTCTCGCCAGATGTGTTTATGAATTGTATTTTCATTAGATATTCGAAGTTTTGCTGAATTGTTTAGATTAAGTTAATCCGAGGCACGTTTGCAATGTTATTTCTCGAGTAGTCGAGAGTTCGCCTGTTTCGGAACTCTTATCTCTAATTTTCCAGATGTTTAATGATCTGGGAGTTTTCTTACATTTCGAACACATTTGATGTAATTTATATCATAAAAATTGCATTATACTCATAATGCATTAAAAAAACATTCTTAAAAAAACTTTATTAAACATTAAAAACACTTATTCTTATTCTTATTCTTTTATTCTTCTCATGATTGAATGGTTTAGTCACGACTTACTCTCACGGAGGAGGCCCAGAGACAAAGTCGTTCAGCTGAGTCTAGTAAAAGTTCTTTCTACGACTGTGAATCAATATATAGTTAAAATTGATCTCATCAAGCTTTAGATAGCATATTTTCTGAGATTCTTATAATCTCAGCTGGAGACAAGAAAGAAGTTAAGAACTGTAACTGCCTTTCTATTACTGTGATTCAATATACAGTCAACATTGATCTCATAAAGATTAGATTGCATAGGACAGGCCTTTGTAATCTCACTTGGCGACAAGGTAGGAACTTAAGAGCTACAATTATTGAAAGGGAACTTCACATCAAGCCAGCGAAGAGAGACTGGAAAATTCACGATACACTGCAAGTAAGTCCTTACCACTAGTATTGTGGAAAAATCACATTACACTGCGAATAAGTCCTTACTGCTAGTACTGTCGAAGAATCACGCTACATTGCAAGGAAGTCCTTACTGCTAGTACTGATTTTATATCTCTCGGGTTTACTCTGAAAAAGGACGGCTGAAGTCCGATTAGTGATGCTTCCCAGGCATACTCTAAAAACAAGACCAGTTATAGACGCCACACAGTGGCTTTACATATCCTCCAACGAACAGCGATTCGCGCCATACTGTAAGAGCACATCGCAGCAACGATTAGTTGTTGATACAACAGGTGGCGCACAGCTCCGCATAACCTCTATTTTAGGCTCTTACACGAGCCATTATTTAGAGGCAACTGCACACGTGTGGAGTTGAAGTGATAAGATTGTAGTGTTCGATCAGAGCACTACAACGATCATAACCTCCAAAGTGATAATATTCAATAGATTATAACCTATTTCTTTTTACAGTAAATCATAATCTCACCAGTTACATGCAGAGAATAAGAAATTGATCATCTTCTAGTTCTCCAATAAAAAGGTATATCTCAACGACACAAGATTATTAAGAAATATAAAGGTCATTTGTAATCTCATCACGGTTAATGATCCCAACTTGGAAATAAAGTGAAATAAATGGAATAAACAGCAATAATAAAGATATGTGTTGATTATTGAATCGGTGCATTAACCCTTTACTTGCCCAGCAATCCCACACAACAGCTAGTGGTTTTTTTGTTCTAAGTTGATTTTGCGAGTTTGGCTGACGAGTCAGATTTGTGGAATTATTTTTTGAACAGAAGCACTTATCAATGCATTTACAAAATATTTATCTATTAAAATATTAAAATACATTCAGTGTTTAACATACCTAAGAATAAACTAGTTCACTACATATTCGAAGTGGTACATTTAATACAATACAATCACCAAAAACTGAAAACATCGAAGTGGAATCTATGTACGAAAAAAAGTACAACATATTTTATAATAATAAAAGAAATCTTATAACTTTGAATTCAAATTTAATATATAAAAAAGTTAAGAGTAAAAAAGTAACGCGAATAAACATTGTTTATGTACCACAATATGGATACGTAGTATTAGCTAGAATAGTTCAACATAAATATATTTGCTTACTTAAATTATCTATTATGTAATAACATGATAGGCTAAGATACTTATATTGCAGCAATTAAGTATCAAAGAACTTTATTATATATAATATTTTAATGATTTGAATTATATATAATGGTTAAACAACGTTATTTGATAGTATAAATTATAACAAATCACAGATACTATTTTCACAATGTAATACCTAGTATTATTCATTAAAATGTTAAAATATTTATAATTTATCATTTTAATTCTAACGATATTAGTAAAAAATAAATTAATTATATTATGAGCATATTGACTATGCACATGATATGTATAATGAGAAATATAATATATATAACATGAGATGGATTTTACATATAATTTATAAAATATTTTATATTCCAATATATGACAATTTAAAAAATATTTGTAGATACAACATTCAATTTTATGTTCAACTAAGTAAAAATTTTAATTATAACCTGGAGATTGTACATACAATATGGTAATTAAAAAAGATTAAACTTTATAATTAAATCGATGAATTTCTCCTGTTTATAATATATAATTTAACATATAATTATTTAAATCATATGGAAAAGCATACATAATAATTATGTAATTATTATAATTATGTATATAATTATAAAATAAAAATCATTCCTCAAGTCTTTTATTAATGTAATTATCTTACAATTCAAATTGAAATCTAGGTTCTTTACATTTTATATATTGATCCAACAAATTAAAAGGATAAAATAATTTTTAAAATCAAATTTAAAATAAATAATACAGTACAATTTTATAATTTTAATTACTGGTAATTAAATACTGAGTGGGATATTTTTATAAATTATAGGATTTTAACCTATAAAAATAAATCGTTAAATTTATTGATAATATAATATGTATATATATATTTATAATAATGTATTTTAATTTAGTTTTATTTATGTGCTATGTTCACAACATTTTCTATTAGACAATTGAAAATTTACATCATTTATTTCATTTGCAGAGCATCCTTGTTGAAAATTTGTCAGATCTCTTTTCATTGCATATGCATCCTCACCATCGGCATAATACTTTGGTTCAACTTCAGAAACTTCAAAATGTAGACTACTTGTATATAAATTCAATGCAGCACGATTACTTCTTCGAACATGTAACGAAACATATTTAGCTCCGAAACATTCAACCATTGCTCTAGAAGCTTGATTCATTAACTTTTGTGCTATTCCTAATCTCCTATGAGATCTCTTTACAGCTAAACTAGTGATATGACCATGGGGATTATCTTCACAGTCTTCTTCCATTTTTGCAAGAACATAACCAACAATTCGATGCTTTTCATCTTCAGCAACATAACTTAATTGAGGCCAAGATAATGCATGATATAAATAATATTTCATTTGATAATTTTCTGGTAAACACTGTAGATTACAATGTTGAATATTCAATAAATCTTTAGTGTTTGCACATCGAATATTTATTGCCATAATTGGTTGTATTCATAATCTACAAAAGAAATTAAAAATAAATTTATATTATCCAACTTTTAAGCAATAAAAGTTGGATATTTACAAAATATCCAAATAAATTTATCTCCAAACATTATTTCAAATTACAATAGAAATATATATTTATTTCTAAACTATTCAATTCACTCAACTCTATATAAAATGTTATTATGTAATATAAAATAAACTATATAATAAACACTTAAAAATCTACTTTCTATTTCTTATTATTTATTTTTAATTTTTCTACATCTTAACGGTTTACCTATTAATCTTTGTAAATCTAATTTTAAAGATTTAATAATGTAAAATAATCAACTATTTAATAAATTATTATATAATATTCTGTTTTATGCATCAAGATATATCTTACAAAAAAAAAATCAATCAATTTATAATAAAGTTTAATTGTTAATATTTTATATTAATCAATTGTTTAATGTGAAATATAATTACTATGGATAATTATTAAAAGGGATTTCTATAATAAATATAAAGAATTATTTGTATTTTATAAAAAATTATAAGTATAAAACAGATTCTATTATTTTTTATAATGAAATATACTTATAACCTCTTATTAAATCAATTTTCAAAATTTTTGAAAATTTAATAAGTTAATATTACAAATGTTAATGCTAAAAATAAATTTTTAAATTATGTTTAAATACACTTATAAAATATTAATGTTCACTAAATTCTTAGGTGAAATTTTATATTACTAAATAGTTGCAATTTCATGCAAATTAAACATTAGTAATTATTTAACTACCATATTTCTTTCTGTATTTTCAAATCAATTGATAGGATTAATTAAAGATTTATTATTGTATTAATACAAAAAACATTAGTCATTTATATTAAAAGTGTATTATTAACCTATTAAAATTTAACAAGTGTATTAAAATATTGTCTACTTGGTTTTTCTACAAATGGAATTATAATACAATTATTTCATTACAATACATTGGAATAAAAATTACTTAATGTACATACAAATATTTTTATTTACAATAGTTTATACAAATACAAATATTGAATATTAAATTATTGAAAAAATATGAACAATAGTGTCTGCAACATTATGTTAATAGAATATAGAATTTCTTTGATATAAACCACAAATACAGATTTATTATTTATAAATCTATTATTATAATTTTATATTAATACAATAGAAAATAATTTAAACTAATATTAACTAAATCTCAGAAAAATAGATAATTTTACCTGAACATTTAAATATTTTCTTGATTATCAATTATTTTATTAAAATTTACTTACAAAGTATATAATTATATTGTAAATGAAATTAATCAATTACTTCTACTTTAAATAACTACAATATCTATTCTCACACAAAACCTAACAAATTTTAAATCACAATGATACTAGAAATATAGATAAGTATAATTTCATGAATTTGGTTATATATTTAATTTAATTTCTTCGCTCGGTTATTTAAAAAAAATATATAAAAATGATTACATTTTCCAAATAAATTTGAAGATAATCTCATTTATGATTGATTAAATTTTAATTAATTACTGCAGAATAACTATATAATAAAATATTCATTTATAATTAATTTTCATTTCTTACTCAATACACATTTTATAAATTGATAATTACAAAATTAAAATATCAAAAGCGCATGACTGAACAGTTGATGTAACGGTATCGAAAAACGTTTTCAAATTAAGACTTTTCGTTTTATATTTATTATTAAAAATTTTTAATTTAATTTCATATGTAAAAAATTACTAATAATATTGTATTTTAAATAATATAAATATTTATTTTATAAAATATGTTTGAACTTTAATGTAAAATATTTTTATAGATCAAAAATGATGTCAAATTAAAAATTTTAAAATCAGGCATACATTTTAGCTTCGTATAGCATCAATTCTTTATTGCATTCCAGCATAAATAGACCGGTTTAAATCTGAATAACAGATATAAGAACTATGATATAAATAATTTATACTGTGTAATAGCTAGATATTTGGTCATGTATTATACGATTAAATTTTAATTAATATCTTTATTTAAATATTTAAAATTATACCAATTATAGTACAATAATAATATAGTATAATATATAGTATAATATAGTTTGAAATTAACGTTAAGTTTAACATTTACTTTATTATTCTGAATTATCGCTTAATGAAATTCTTTACAATTATGAATATTTCAATAACTTATATTATAGCGATACTGTTATATTCTTAATATAATACGTAACTCTTACACTACAATTGGATTCGAAATAAACATTAAATACTATTTTTAACGTAATTGAATGCGGTATCTACATATACAATTGAATGTTCTGTACAACAAATACAAAAATTAATAAAAAGAATTAACATTTTATTAATAAAAATGTATTTTCTTTGTAATATATAATATTCTTTTATTTTCTGTTTTTAATATTACTATTTTATTAATTATTCTGTTAAATATTTAAATAGACATAATGCCGTATATTAAATGATGTTAAGGTATATTATGTAAATAATTTTTTTGTTTTTTTGCGTAATATATAGAATAATAATAGACAATTATTGTCTATTATCTATAAAAATATTTATCTAAAAAAATATTTAAATTGTAAAAATTTTTTAATATTTTAAAATATTACTTATAATCAATTGTAACAGTAAACTAGTTGTAAAAATTTTTATTCCGAAATGTGCTTTTAATAATAAAAACAATTGAAAATGTTGTAGCTATTTAATTTGCTAATTGTACAATTTTATATTACTTATTTATTTCCAATTAAAATTATATGCTATCGCTAATTCTCATCATTAAAGTAAAAGAGGAGTATGTCGAAACAATATGTTCACTCACAGCGATGCAGTTGCATTGACCTGAACCCGTGATGAACAATCCACAGTCACGAGATGCTTCTTGATGATGGCTAGCGGATAGTTTGCTGATCTTGTAAGAATTAGCAATGAATAAAAAATAAAAATGCTTTATTTCTTATAGTCTAATTTTTCTTGAAAGAGAGTAGATGTTGCCACTAAGTTGTTGATTATTCCTTCCAACACTTTTCACTGCCAGTTAACGTTCATAAATATGCACATGAGAATGAACACGTGTTCCTTCCGTGCGACCCTAATTTGTAGAGAACATTCTCAAAGCGTGCTTGCTGTAAATATCCACGCCACAGCCTAGTTAGCGCTGACAACAATGGATGCGATTGGTGTGGCTAAATAGAGACTGGCTAAACATCTGGGAATTTTCCAGAAAATTCTAACGCTTAGGAAATTCTCGGAATCTCGAATACATATGAATAATAAATTTATAATGAAATTTATTGCAAATGGATTATGAGTTCATGTAAATCAAATATTAATGTGTAGTAAAACGAATGAATAATTCATAATACATTCAAATATGTTTATGTATATGAGGTAATACATATATGAGGAGACATATATTATATGAGGTGTAACTGCTACATAATACACAACTGTACGTATGAAGATGCACGATCATGTAGAGTAATTAAACACAGTTTTGTACAAGCAGCTAATGAGACTTTGAAAAAATTGGTTCTATTTCCTCGTATACTATTAATTCTCATTTGAATTAGACGATTGGAAAATTAAGTATATAAGATAAAATTTGTACGAGTAAATATTTTTTTCTCAATATTTTGAATATATATGAATCTGAATACAAAAAAATGAATTATAAAAATCTGCTATTATGATTAAGATCACATCATACATTTACTTCTATTGATACGAGAATTCACTTTTGCCTTTTTATTATAAAACATTACCTGCAGAGTAATCTAGCATTTGTATTATTCGAAACTGTTTCAATTCCTGGCTCGAATTGCCAATGTTTCGATAGCTTTATAATAATTTTCCGCCCGTCCTAGCGGATGCTTGAAAAAGAGTTAGGTGGAAGGGCTGTAGAAACTTATAGTACGTGCAAACTTCCTTAACATATGGCTTATTAACAATTGCATTATCGATGAGTAGAATTCACTTTTTATAGGAAAGTGTAACTCTCCTCACTCTGTTCCTTCGCAATGATTTAGTTGCTCCATGATGTTGAGGATGTTGTTGCTGATCTTGTAAGGATCAGCAATGGATTCTGCATGCTGCTTAGTAAGGAGTATGCCCTTTGAAATGTAAATAACGTGGTTACCGCTAATATCTTTAAGGATTAGCAGAGGCCTAGGGCTGACTGACCGGCTTACTGGCTGAATAATTATAAGCTCCGTCTCGTGGTGTTTGCTTTAAATATCCACGCGGTGGGTTACTTAGATGGCAACAATTTATAGGTGTTGCTATGCGGAAAACACTGCAGGACGTTCGAAAGTAAAGCATTCAAATATTCGAAAATACACGGAATCAAATGTTTACAAAAATTCGAGAGCTACAAGACTTATACATTTCCGGGAGCCTAAGGTCTTGAAAAATGCTCCAATTCCGAAGACATATTTATCTGAAAATTATATATTTAGTTTTTCATGAACTTACTAAAATATTAATTTACATACTTTTAACTTTTATATTCATTTTTTCAATTTTAATATCTAAAAAGAAGTTTAATAATTATGAATTTATTAATTAAGAATAAATCAATAATAATTTAAAGAAAGTTAATATTTTTAGCCAGTTTCTATTATAATTTATATTTAAAATTATATTTAATTTAACCGAAAAATAAATTCTAATTGTTAAATTAAGATTTTTAAAACAACTTTTATGTATCTTTTTTTAATTTATATATTTCATTTAGTTTTTCATTTTGTTATTACATTATATAGATTTGTATAATTTTATTTAAACAGTCTTATTTTATTTATAATACATATAATTCAATATTTATATTTAAATTGCAATTAAGAGGTGATTAAAAAAATATTCTTTTGTTATTTGTAAAAACTACTTTTTTGTAGAATATTTTAATTATATCTATTAGATGGTTTTAAATTACTATACTATGTTAATTTTATAACAATTAGTATATAAATTCGAAATTTAACCATACTTATATTTATAGAAATATAATAACAAGTACTAAGCATGCACACTACTGTTACTTTAAGACGTTATATTACAATATATTAAGTATTTTAATTGTGATAATTCGTAAATAAATAAACAAATATGTATATATAAATATATATATATATATATATATAGTACATTAAATTGTATTAATTTATATATTTGCAATAAACTTTTATATTTTTATTGAAATATATTAATTATTTTAATAAGTAGATTTCTATCATAATAAGTGAATATATTAAATATATTAAAATATTCAAGTTTATGATAAAACACCAATTTAATTTCATAATAGAAAATAATTTAAAATTATAATCAATATTTATAAAAGAAGCTCAAACGTTGATGTTGATCATGCAATAACAGACTACATATACTAGATATCTTAAAGAATTATATTATAAAATATACAAATTGGAAGAAACCATTTTATAAAATTTTCGAGTGTAGGTAATTAATTTAAAAAATATTTTTAAATTATGAAATAATATTAAAGGAAAGAGCAATGATTTTTCATTTATTTTTTATTTCTATTTAATAATTTAATTTATAATTATATAAATAATTAAATTTCATTTAAACATTTTAAAAATAAAAGAATTTGATCATGAAAGTAAAAAAGCTATGTTTTAAAATTAAACTAATAACTAAATAATAAATACTATATGCAATTCAAAATTTATGTCCTTATCACCAATTTCATGTATATATATTTTATTTTAAATAGCTTATATAGCCTATTTTAAATAAAGAATATTATTTATATTAATTTTTAAAAAATTTCACAATTATAACGTATATTTTATTTAAAAAGTAAATGAAATGTAAAGAAATAATATATTTAATAGAAATAAAATATTTACAGTAATTTCTTTATAATTTTAATCGTAATAAACAAATATTGAATAGATTTATTTAAAATTAATAGGCTTATTTTTATTGATGTGATATTATATTACGAAAATATGTAGTATTAACGAAAATTTGTGATAATCGATCATTCTGCATATTACATATAATATGAAAAAAATGTTATTTGAAACTATAAAAAATATAATAATTGGAAAAAAATTGAATAAGAACCAATATATTTTTTAAATATAACAACACCAAAGACTTATTTAAACTGAATAAATGTGCATCCTTTCCAGCCATTCATTTAAATACATTATATAGCAGACATATTATTTATCATGTTTAAGCTTTCAATAATTTAGTAAAGTTTATATTATAATCAAGATATTTTATTACAATAAAACCTATTCTAACAGTACAGTATTATAGAAGGGTATAGAAAAAATCAATCTAAATTTCAATTTAAATAACTATATTATTTTTAATGCAATCAAGTTGAGGTTTTAAAAAATTGATTTAAAATCTTTGAAGTGCATGCGCAATATCAAAATTTTAGTTGAACTAGAGCTTTCTTACGAAATATTAATGTAATTAATAAAAAAAATTATTGACAGTCTTTAAAAATTAGTAATCTTGAGTAAATAAAATAAGAATTTGAATTTCTGTATAGAATGAAAAACTTAATAAAAAATTTTATTAATTAATTTGGAATAAAATGATAGCTGTTAAAAAAGAAAATTTCTTTTGTATATAAATTACTAATTAAAAAAAAAAACAAAATAGAAAAATGTATTCGAACCATTTTAATTTTCAGATCTCATTTTAATTGCCTTTTCTTATTTAGACTCATAATTTTTTTCCCTCTATTTCTACCAATCAAGAAAATTACTTCAAATTGTGTAAAACAATATAAAATTTTTAACCATACAATAGAAAACAAGAGAAGTTTACTTTAACATAAATTTGGTGTCTAAAACGTTTTAGATTTGTTCTAATAAAAGGAATACATAGATATTTAAATCTGCTTTATAAAATTAATTAGAAATAAATGGAACAAGTGACTTTATTTATTAGATATTTATTTAAGTGAAAACAAGCTTGTTATAACATTTAATATATTTCGATATAATTGTTATAATAATTTTATAATAATGTTCATGAGTTGTATTTTATTAATCATACGGTTAATAATTCACCTTGCTACAAGAAATAGCATTTCGATACTCATGTTATAGACATTTCTTGTTGTTGACTCTTTATGAATACTTATGCTGACTCTGGTCTCTAGTTCCTATTCAAAACGCTTATAATTTTATCAGAGAAGCTTTTTAGCTTTATTATTTTACTTATGTAACTGTTAATCAATTCATAGCTTTCTTTGATCATAGACTCTACTCTTCATTATATACGATTATTGATGTCATTTATATGTACCCTAATAAATAAGACGTACGCACGTGCTCTTAAACATATTAATTACTAATGTGCAAAATTGTACACCTTATATTTTTAACATATCAATGACTTATTTATAAATTTCATTTTTTAATATTATAAAAGCAATAAATATATACTTATTAGGATATATTATACATAAATTTTATTATATATATATATATATATATATATATAGGAAAGAGAAAGAGAGAGAGAGAGAGAGACCTATATTTTCGCTATCTACATTTTTCAAAATGTACGAAAAATGCATTAGCGTATGTACCAAAATAATGAACCAACCTTTAATTTATATTTACCTTAGTACACAAGTATAATAGGTTAATTAATCGTAAAAGATCATAATCAAGAATTAACAATTACCTTCTTTTGTACTAAAAATTAAGAGAAATATCAAACAAATAATTTTAAATTTAATAATAAAAGAAATAAAACAAGTTTATATATGTACAGTATAAAAATAAAAGATTTTATGTATATAGTGATAAATGAATGTTAATCATACAACTTAAATAATATTTTATGCTAGAAAGATTTGCATTCTAATTGTATAATTGTAATATTACTAGAACATAATGTATTACTATGGATTTGTAGCATTGATTACATTTGTCATATCAGTTTTGTGTGATAGTCTATCAATAGTTTTGTGGTATAATTGGTATAGTAATATAATCTCGTATACTTGGATTAATATAATAATATATGGAATACTATGTTTATTCTTTAAAATCATACATAACTCTCCAACTTATGATGTAAGTATTTAATTTTAAAAAACATTTTAAATACTTTTTAAGACATTGCTTTTATATTAATTTGTACAATTATGGTAAAAATTCATAAAACGTGTATATCTGACAAATATCATTTAGAGTCTTCTACATGAAAAATAAAAATGTAATTATTGAATTAATTATTAATTATTACCTATTAATATATTTTTCAATGCTTATACATATATAGGTGAGAAGTATAATTTAACAAATATTTCTCCATATTTCTTGTACAGATAATTCTATCGTATAAATATTAAATGTTATTGAAAATTTAGAAATATTTTCAAAATTATATAATTTTTATTGACTGTATTTGTATAACATGGAAATATTTTTAAATTGAATGGAATTTAAATGGAAATCTTTTTAAAATTTGTTTTAGTTAGAAAACAGATCTATACAATTCAAATAATATATGAATATTTGAAGCTGTATTATTTTCTATTTTATTATTGTATTCATTTCAAATTTCAATATACTAATTTTGTTATTAATGTTATTAAATTTAGAAAGTGTAGTAATAAAATGAAAATAAAAATCGATCTTATTCAAGTGATATTGTTAAGAGATAATTAAAGCGAATAAAATAATTAATTGAACATTTTTAATATGATTTACGATATACTAGATAAAATTATATGTGGAATAATTACAACAATAATGTTAAAATATTGAATTATTTGTGTTTAATGGAGATTTCAATACTTGTTTAAATTCCTCTAGTGTACTTTGAATTTGTAACACTGATCTCAAATTAAACAAATTCATTATGTTTTAGAGAACATAAATAATACATGACTAATAAAGTATGTATTTTTATATATGTACTAATTATAATGTATTTTTCCAATTTCTTTAATTGAATTTCATAATATAATTTGAAAGCAATTGAATTTTAGCTAATTTTATAAATAATAAATAAAATAAACCTTGAACCCTAAGTTAAATTATCTATAATAAATAAAGTGTGCTCTTTCAATTTTATTAAACCATAGAACTGTAAGTTTTTGTAATTTAATAGAAATTCAAATCAGCAATGAAGCACGCAATGAATCCATTTGTATAATAAAACATGCTAAAAAATTTCCTTAGTATTAAAAAAAATACTCAACTTTTTGCCTTAATAAATTTAGTTTGATTTTTCATATTTTGAGATAGAATTATGTACTTAATTTTTATATATTTTTTTAATATGTTAATATTTTTAATTAATTTTCTATTTGTTTACCCTTTTTATTAAAAGTATTTTTAATGTATTGCCTATTGCATCCTTTCCAAATGTGCTTGCTTTCATTTCTAGCAGTTTTTATTTGTCAAGAGAAGAGAAAATTATGAGTATACAAACTTACGATTAAATATTATTTCTTAACAAAACAATTAAACTACTGCATTATCTTTTTATTTACTATTTCGAAGTATTAGAAAAAAAACTTCCTCCACGTTTTGATACTTTTATGCACTGTATATGTTTGTAAACATATTGCTAATATTAGTTATTTATATGAAGGATTGATTGTTAATTTGACAGTAATTTGTTTAATTGAAATTTTATTCTAAGCATTGAGCCTTTTCGATATACGCAATTGTTAATAACTGAGTGTAATATTATTAGATATTGTTTGGGATCAGATTTAAAACCTGTTGATGTTAGGTGGAGGTGTTGCTGCAAGTGGAGGAGGCAAATGCAATTATTCAATTCTATACCCAGTATATTTTGGTTTTACCTATATTAAATATAATAATATAATAATAGTTAATGGTTATAGATGTGTAATAATCGTGAGTATGAGTGACTTAATGTATGAAATTCTTTAGTAATTTTGTTGTTAGAAGCGTCACGTTGTAATCGTAAGGAACGTGCTTAGCCGCCGTTGCTGTTTCGATGTAGTTGTGGGAACCGTAGCTGTTCAGGCGTATGTGATGAGCCTTTGCTTGTGTAGCTGTTGCTACTTACGTGCGCTTAATGAGCCGTCACTTACTAAAAGAGCGTGTGAGACGCTGCTGCTTTAGCCGTTGCTTGTGTATCTATGTTGAGATCCGTTGATATGTGTTGCAGTTCTACTTTCGTTATTTTCACTCTTAAAGTACGCTTGGTGCTAGCGCTTCTTGAATATACCTTTAACGGATTCTGATAGTTGTGGCGTCACTATTGGTTTATTTGATTGCTTGTTAATTGATGATTAAATACTTTCATAGCTACAATGAGTGATAACTGTAGGCTAAATGCTTAAAAATAGAAATAGTGAGCCCGTAGTGGTGACTGTGTCAATGTTACTAGTACAGTGCGCTGCGCGTTAAGCGCTGCTCTTAAATATTCATGTAGCAGGTTGCGACGTCGGTACCGGTGCCCTTGCTATGCCGAAATTTGTCGTGACGTCAGTAGGATATAGCCTTGGAACGTTCATCAGCATTGCTATGAGGAAATGTATATTCGAGTTCACGGCGTAGGAAATTCCCCGAATTCGCTGGATTCGTGTTTACAAATATTAGTGTCCGTGAGATTGTATCTTTTCCAATTTTAAATTCTGCCGAAAACTGCTTAAATCCCGAACACATTAAGTTTTATAATTGAAAATGTATATAACTTTAAATTTGTTTCTATACGTTAATTAAATATAATATTGACTTATTCATTGTGTCTATATCTATTAAGTAATAGGATTTGTCAATTGAATTTAAACTGGATAAATTATTTTTAATATAGAACATAAAAAGCAAGAATTATTTGAATAAGCTTATACGGTTTTCTCTCTGCATATTATATGTACAAATGATTCATTATTCAAAATTAATACAAACACAAGCTTATTTTGTGTTATTTTAGAATAACACTATTTATGTTTTGTTTGAATATTGTCACTTAAGTTTTAGAATAAAATTTTTCTCCCTTATTTTTTTTAAATGATCAATTTATGTAAGTTTATATGCTGACAAATCTTCAAACTTATAATACATAACAAAAATAATTTATAATTTTAAAGATTAACAAGATTTTACCATATATTTTATTAGAAATTATTTTTATAGGTCACCGTTAGAGCACTTTTTTTAGGTCAGAGTTTTAGTTCGGGTATAATTCTTTATATAACTGGATCACAGTCATGGAAATTATTTGGTATATATGCAGCAGTATTATCTACATTCCATTTTACAGAATTTTTAGCAATTGCTTTTACTAATCCTAAGGTATTATCATCTGATACTTTTGTTATAAATCATAGTTTCGAATATACATTAGCAGCTACCGCGAGTTGGGCAGAATTTTTGCTTGAAAGATATTATTTTACTAAAATAAAAGAGAGCAGATGGATTATGCTACTTGGTCTTCTTTTTTGTCTCATTGGAGAAATATTTAGAAAAACAGCTATACTCACAGCAAAACATAATTTCAATCATATTATCCAAAATAAAAAAACCATTGATCATAAATTAATAACGCACGGAGTGTATAGGATGTGTAGACATCCAAGTTATGTTGGTTGGTTTTATTGGTCTGTGGGCACGCAGGTAAATAAATTTATATTATATATTAATACTGTGTAATATTTATTCCAGAATGTTTAATAATTTTCTCGAATCTGCGGAGTTTATGCATGCATATTTGTGCTTGTTTCATATGTATAACATATTTTTTATACAGTAATTTACATATAATATTCAACATTTTAGATATATTATTTCAATTTTTGTAAGAAATATTTTTTTGTTACCATACGTATTTGGATTTCTAACAACTATAATTCAAGTTAAAATTAATTTATCGAAATATACTAAATTACAGTCTGATTTAAAATTTATGTTAATATGATTAACATCTTTCATTCTATCAATATAACAAAATAATTTTATGAATTTAATTGAGAAAATTCCAAAATTATGAAATGTTTTAGGATAACAAATTAATGTAAGTGTGCAAAATGTATTTATTCGCCGTTGCGGCTTGTTTTACGAAGACTCATTCGAAGGATACAAATTGATGCCGTTGACATCTCAGAGCCACGGATGTTGTGTGATAGCGATGAAAGATCAAAGTGGAAGGGATATTATAATAACTCAATATAAATATTCTGTTATTTATCCAATAACAGGGCGTTCATTAGTATTACTATTATCAATTATTGAAAAACTCATGTGTTAAATTAATGCATTTTCTATGGTAATCGTACACTAATCTAATGCAGCGTTTTCGATTTTAAAGGTTTAGTTTATGGCTCAAACTACCAATTCAATAGTTCAGTGGATTAGTCTCTAGTCCGGATAACTTTAAAGGAAATAATAAGTGACAGGGCTGAAAATATCATGTATTTAGTGTAATAATGCTTATTATTTGTTAATAATTATAATAATATTGTAATGTTATGTAGTGAGAAGATTATTCTATTGAAGTAATGAGGGTGTGTCCTTGCAGTCTAAATTGTCTTAGTTGTAATTGAGGTTATGCTGATGTAAATATCAGCTGGTGTAATCAGTCATGCTCATGTGGTAGCATGAGAAGATGGTGTTTAAATAAAAAATGTTTACTATGTGTCATAACTATTCTTGATATAGTGTTTTATGTAACTTGTTGATGTTTGATTTGATGTTGATGTTTAATGGAACTTGTTGAGTAATCAATTATGTTTAAATATTTATGGGAGCAATAAAAAGACTAGTCACACACAAGAATAATTAATTATATGCCTTCGCACCCTTGAAGGACTTAATGATATGTATTTATGGTCGATTAGTCGATATATTGTTGTTTGGCTTTGACAATGAACTTGACTTGTTGTGTCAATTGTATCGACTGGGTCAGGGAATGCACGATGACGAAGGGTTACTTCGAGAGAGCGTGCTCTATAACATGTCGACTGTTTTAGGCCTTTGCGAGGTCGAAGCATTGGTTCGACTGAGAGAATGTGAAATTGCCCGATTTATTCTTGTGCGAGGTGTGACTAGCTAATTTATTAATATAAAAAAGGTACCTTGAAAACTGCTGACAAGGTGTGTTGATTGCTGCGTAATTAAAGTCCCCTTTGATTACTATTCCATTGGCTTCACTGTAATCACTACCTAATCTGCCGATTTCTGATTCTTATGCACACGTGTATTCTTAATAGGCTGTCGAATATATAGCCACATGTCGTCTTTACAGTATACTAAAAACACTGAGCGGCAATTACAATTAAGTGAGCGCGAAGTAAGATTACAATGAGGGTCGCCACATGGTGAGCTGTGCTTAAATATGCATGCAGCGGATGCAACGCTGGCAACAGTGCCGCGGGGTGTTGTTAGACCGAAAATTCTATGCGGCGTTAAAAAACGAAGCTTCTAGAAGTTTCGTAGGTGTTCTTCCTTTATGAGATCTTATAGTATATTATAATTCAGATCGTAAAACTTGCTCGGACTTGTCGAGTTTTGTTTATAAACATTCGCCCGAGCATGCGTGCCGTGCGCCGTACAGCGTGTATGACGCACTTTGTCTAAAATTCGTGGAAACTGCGTCAATCCCGAACACAGCGTTATGGTTCGAATATGAGCGCAGAATTGTGCGAAGTTTCATTCGTCGACACTCGCGCTGTTCGTGTGAGCACGTGCGTAATTGAGGTTATAGTTGTAATGTAGCGCGACACATGTAACTGTTGTTAATTGAAAATACACTCGGGTAGTAGCGTACTGCAATAGTTATTCAGTTGGAAGTAAGAGCTTGAAAGGCTTTTACCTCGTGAAGGATACTGCTACGTGTTGCGTCTGGTATGAGCGTTGAAGGGCACGCTGAGTAGATTCATAAGCGTCAGACATTGAACTTATGTCAGGATAGACCGGCAAGACTCGCATCAGCTGGCGCGAACTTGGCGACAATTTTTGAATTATTCCGCACTGTCTATCTGAAAAGAGCCTCAATTCCTTATGATGCTTGTCGATGACTTAAACTCTGAATCTTAAATGTTAATTGATTATGGTAGTTGATACTACTTACGAAGACTAATAGTAAACTCATTATAGGGATTATCCACGTCCTTCTTGACGAGGACTGCCACTGGACACTTGTTTTCGGACTTCGAATAGGGAATATGTCTCCTGTCATTTAGGACTTGCAACAACCGTTGTCTTGAACTACGTTAAAAGGGACTTTCACTTCTTAGCTGAATAAGTACTGTATCGAGAGTGTTTAAATATTGAACATGTGCTTCTTGAATACATTTGCTGGTCATGTACTTCACTTGAATCCCATCCCTTATTTTCTGTCTAATCAGAGTGATCCTCACTTACAGGGCAAGGGGGCAGCGCCTCTTGTGGCTTCATAGTTAATTAAAGGCATAGTCGTCTCTTGGTCTTCACGACAAGAAGAGCTCTCGTTGCTTCTGACGCATCTGGAGACACTATGACAGCTTGTTGACAGGTAGAAGAGGGGGCAGTACATACCGTTTTGAATGAAGTTACCGAGCGGAGCGAATCCGTACAGATGCCTAATACGTTGGGTTTTCCCGAGTTTATTATCTTGTTTTTCCAGATGTTTTATGACATTATTGCTTGATCGTTGTCAGCAAGAAATTTTCGAAATCTAAAATGACAAATTTACGATGTTGTTTTGTCAAACGTTTTATTGGCAAAGACTGCTCTTACAATCTCAAACAATAACCTAAGATGACAAAGTAAATTTCAAAGATTTGTATTTGTAGTTGTAGTTATTGAACTATCATATTTAATATACTGTTTATTTATATTATGTGACGGTTAAAAAAAGTCTACACTATATTGTAATTTGTAATTGCTGGGCCAAAAATATATATATTCTATATTTAGAACAATTGTTTTTAAAACAAATTGTGCAAAAAAAAATAAAAATAAAATATTCTTTAAACGTTTTGCCATACTTATCAATTGATGGCATTTTATACTTTCATCTGAAGCGAAAATACTATCTAATTCATAAATTCCTTATTAAGAATTACGTTTTTCAAAATAAGTTTAAAATCTCATATAATGTACAAATTATTGTTAGTTTATATTTTTTTAATTTGGCTTTTTATCATTATTTAGAAACCAAAGGACTTGCACTATGGAATAATATTACAAGGAATTAAGCACCAAAAGAAATAATTGCTTTTAAATTATTGCATAAACATCAATACTTTACTATCTAGGGATTCTTGTGAACATAATGCTACTATTATAAAAAAAGAAATTAGGAAAATGTGTAGAATGGAAGAAAAAAAACACGTAAAAAATGTGTTTAGAATATTAGGAAATGATCAGAATTTACAAAGAACTTTTTTTTATTATAGTCATTAATGTTTCTGATTGAAGACTAATTAATTAGTGAACAATTTCGATTGAAAACTTTATATGTATAGAATTTTTAAAGACACTAAAAAAACAACACCCTGAATATCTTTAATACCATCGCTGTTTATTATAAAAATATCGAACTATATTATTCATAATACTAAATATATTTTTTCAAGATCAAAAGATTGATTACATAATTATGTTATTAATAAATAACATAACAGTATCCAAAGTTATTCATTCCAAATAGTCTTCAGTGAATACTTGATTAATTACTGAATTTTAATAATTAAGAAGTTATTTTCAATAAATAGCTGTTTTTATATATAATATACCTTCAAAGTTGGTAGACGTATAGAGTATAGATATATATATATATAAGTAATACTATTGTATCAAAATTAATTCCACTAATCCGACTCGTCGAACCAAACGTGTAGAATTAACTAAGAAACCACTAGATGTTGTATGGGAGAATGCGTGGGCAAGTGAAAGGGTTAATGCACTTATTCAATAATTAACACATAATTCTTACTGTTGTTTATTCCATTTATTTGCAATTTATTTCCAATTTGGTGATTATAATGATTTACTGTGAAAAGAGATAGATTATCATATATTGAGTATTACTACTTGAGAGGTTATGATCACTGCTGTGCTCTGAATGAACACTACAATTCTTGTTAGTTTGGTGCTTTTAACACGTATCGCCGTTGCCTCTGAATGGTAGGCTGTGTGAGTGAGCACGTATCTGAAATGGAGGTTAGAATAATGCGCGCCACTGAATGACGCGAGTTGCTGGTCTTGTAGAATGAGCATACACGGAATGCTTCTGGGATCGGACAGCTTGCGGTCCGGGTGCTTAGTAAACCGTGAGGTGAAGAACCTACACTTGAAGTTGTAGTGTTACAATTTTTTGTTTCTACTCACAGGCTTGATGGAAAGCTTTCATGCACGAACTGCTTACTCTTGAACTTTCCTTTTGTCTCCTCTTACAGTTAGGACGAGAATCTAAGTCCTTGAGTAATATGTGCTTGACGAGACTAAGTGTAACTGGGTATTGAACTACAGAAGTAGAAAGTGGTGTTACAAAACTCAACTGTTTTCTGTTCCTCCTTGTGACTTTCGCGAGAATAAGTTAGAGAAAATGAGACTTATCTGGTGAGAATAAGTGGTGGTCGTACATTGCATTGTCTTTCTTAAATAGTTTACTGACCCGCTTCCACTAGGGACCCTTCTTTTCTGTATCCAATCAGAGATTGACTTTGGGCAGCTTGATGGATCATGCACGTCTTCATTTCCACTTCCTTCCGGGTCTAGTCTTGAGTATACTAATCGGAAAAGTGTCGGAAAGGGGAAGCTTCTACTATTGGTCGTCTCTCCTTCTCTGGGACTTAGGTAGATGAGGGGTCCTCTAAGGCGTGGTCGGTTGGCTAGTGCAACTGACAAGATTCGGCGTAGTTAAGAATAATGTAGGCATTGTCTTAAAGGATGCCGAGTGCTCACGTACGCCTATTGCTTGTTGTCGCACGTGCAGGGTTTTGGATTGCAGTGAAATTTAGGAAATGTTTTGTACTTGATAGTTTACGTATATCTGATACTATTTCAAAATCTACGTCTTCTTGGTAGTAAACTACAAGATCGTTTAACTGTACCGGAAAATCCTGAGTACGTTCTTAGATATTCGAGAATAAATAAAATAACTATTCACGAGTGTTTTCCAGATGTATTCTTCTCACGAGTGTCCAACGACCGTGGGAAGTTGTGGTAATAAAACTGTTCTTGCAATCTCGAACAACTATAGATAAACTTTTGCGATATTCTTGATACAAAAAGCATCTGTTTTAAAGGCTGATAATTAAAAATTATTAACGATTATAAAAATAATGTTTACGTCAAAATAAACATGTTCAATTATTTTTTATTCAGATATGTGAAAATCGGATGAAAAGTTAAAATATATATCCGAGATTCGATCTGGATCCAATTCTTTATAATTTGACTTTTTATTTATCCATCTATCTGAACCTATACAAATAAAATAAAGCCTACATTTATATTGAAGCAGTACAAAATATAATAAGAAAAGTGAGATTTATTATTTGCTGACAACATTTGTATTCTCTGCAGAAAATAAATTATATAAAATAAATTGAGTAAAGCTCTATAGCTATACTCTCGGATTCAACAAAGATTTATGTACTAAATAAATCGATAGAGAATTTTTTAATCGGTCTGTTTTTTGTGAAAAATATAATCAATCCATAGTTACGTATCGAATATTGTCAGATTAAATTAACTACTGTATATTATAATTTTAAAACTATCAATAAAAGTTAGAATTCATGACTGACAATCATTATTATTATAAAATAAATAATTCAAAATGAGAGAGAGTCAGAGAATTATCAATATTACTTAGTTTCTTAAATACACAATAAAAGATTTAGAGACCCATGAGTTAGAATAAACTAATAAATTAAATAATAGTTTATTTCATGGATAAATAGCTATTTGTAGTATTATAAGAATTTTTTATAAATAAGTGTTGTTTGAATTTGAACGTTTTAATTTATGGCTCGAACTGCCAATTCAATAGTTCAGTGGAATAATCTCTCGCCATAGCGATTAGGAAAAAAGAAGGTACAAATGGAAGAAATGAAAAGTATAATTTAATATATTTGAGTTCAATTATTAATTTATTCTGCCTATGAATTATAATGTTGTAGCGTTGTTCGTTACTTCTATTGAGACTGAGAATTATTCTATTGTAGTGGTGTGAGTTCTTTCTTGTGTTCTTGATTGTCTGAGATTTGAATTACAATTCGTGCTGGCGCAAGTGACACTGATGTGAGATGCACAACTCAATAATAATACTAAATATAGAATTACTATGAGGACTAAACTGAATTTATCGTAGAACAATACTCAGAGCCAGATGTGTAGTCACTGACTAGATGTTAAACGAACAGTGCGCAGCGCGTCAAGGGCTGCTCTTAAATATTCACGTAGGAGCTTGCGACAACGGCAGCGCACCAGTGCCTATTGCTATGCCGATCATTATGGTGACGTCACTAGAATATAACCTTGAGAGTTAATCGGCATTGCTAGTCGGAAATATAATCTAATATTCGAGTACTCAGCGTAGTGAAATTTCCCGGCTTCGCTGAATTGTGTTTGTAACGTAAATCTCCAGGTTTTATACCTCTCCCACTTTTGTATTCCGCTTTTAACTGCTTCAATTCCTAACATTCCGCCCGCCATCATCAATTTGTTGATGATGAAATTTTTGGTTCAGCAATTGGAAGTATGGCAAGTTTATTAACTGGCCTTACCATGGTGGTAGCAGCAGTTTCTAATGTAACTACTCTCGTCAGTCCGTTACTACCGGGATGCGATTTTATTACTCGAGCGAGTGGCCACTTGCTGGGTGATAAGCGCTCATTGGTAATGAGTACCAAGGATCTTTCCTTGATATCATTCCATGGGTGATGCCATTTCGATATTGATTGTTGTTGTAGGTAGTGAACTGACCAGAGTGACTAAAACTGTTGGACACGTTGTTGGATGTATTGCCATCGAGATAATCTAGGCATGGGTATTTCTTGGAGCGATGGTTTAGGAAGAGCTAGGAGCGGACCTCCTGTAAGGAAATGGCCTGGAGTGAGTGCAATTAAATCATCTGGATCGTCGCTGAGTAGTTCTAAGGGTCTGGACTTCAGGATAGCTTCGATTTGAGCAAGCAGAGTAGTGAGCTCCTCGAAGATGAGCAAGGTGTCTCCAATGGTGCGTCTGAGGTGATGTTTCCCTGATTTTACTACCGCTTCCCACTTATCCCCCATGTGGGGCGTTGAGGGTGAATTGAATTCCCAGTTAGTGTTATCTTGAACCATGATACATTCGATCTGTTGCTGTTCGTGGGTGCCTTGAATAAATTACCTTTTTAGAGCAGCATCCGCACCTATGAAGGTAGTACCGCAATTAGAATGGATTGTGCTTGGAATCCTTCGACGAGTAACGAATTTTCTGTACGCGGAAATGAAGCCGTCAGTTGTGTAATCGGAAAGTAATTCTATGTGAACTGCTGAAGTGGCAAAACAGACAAAGTTGCAGATCCAGGCCTTATATGTTTTCGCACCTGAACCTCAAATCCATTTTCAACGACATAGGGCCGGCATAATCCACGCCAGTATAAGTGAGAGGTCTCGTTGGTGTCACCTTTGTGATTGGTAGATGTCCCATTAGTTGTTTCGTGCGAATCACCTTTTGTCGTGCACACACACCGCAATGCAGGATGTAAGTTTTTATCGGGTGCCTTCCGCCTATGATCCAATTCTGTTGGCGGATCTATGTCAATGTGTTGTGAGTGCCTCCATGTAGAGTTCGTTGGTGTGCATAATCAATGATGAGCGTCGTAAGGATCGAGTGTCAGTAAAAAATTACAGGGTGCTTGTTGTCTTGCTTGATTGGGGCCTTGTTAATTCTTCCACCGACTCTAATTACTTCTTGATTGTCGACGTATGCTGTTAGTCGACTGAATGTGTGTGTTTTTGGCAGTTGATTCCTGCCCAGCAATATCTTCAACTCGTGCGAAAAGTAAGCTGCTTGGGTTACTTTTATCCAGTAGATTCTTACCTCTTCACGGGCCTCATTGTTCGTTTTGAGATAGGGTAATGTCATTCGAGCCTTCTTCAGTCGGCGTATAAACGAGATGCAGACAGCTGTAATTCTTATTAGTTTTTAAAGGTTTGAATATTTTTAGATTAGTTTCCAGGCGTATTGTGGCTTAAAGATAGTGGAGGCGAGTGTTGTGCATGGCCGTGCTTCTTGTTGACATTGACAATTCTTTGGAGTTGAAATCCATGGTGGCCCATTCCACCAAAGAGGGTGTTCTTGAAGATGAAATGAGGTGATACCTCTTGATGCACAATCTACTAGATTTGATATTCCAGGGACAAATCTCCACTGAGCGTTGGGTGTAATATCGTGAATTGAAGATACCCTGTTGCTTACAAATTCCTTCCACCGTGATGTGTGGGCTTTTATCCATGCCAATGTTACTCGGGAGTCAGTCCACAGGTGGATTGCATCAAATTCCATCCGTGGCGTGGTTACTACGTAGCGAGTTAACTTTGAAAGTAATAGTGGTGCTGCTAGTTCCAATCTTGGTATGGTGATTTTCTTTAATGGAGCCACCTTCGTCTTTGAGCATACCAGTGTGCTTGTGGTGCCATGTGAATCGTGCACTCAGATGTAAATGGCGACAGAAATTGCGCGTTGAGATGCATCAGAAAAACCATGTAGTTGTTGTCGAGAGGAGCCTGTCCTCTTAAGCTACATAAGCGTGTTCGTTGAATTGTGTTTATAACGTAAGTGTCCAGGTGTTTATACCTCTCCCACTTTTGTATTCCGCCTGTAACTGCTTCAATTCCGAACAAGTGTGATTTATTTAGATATACTATTTGTTTAGATATAGATAATTTATTCAGATTGTGATTTTTATACATATACGAAAATTCTATTGAAATAAATACAAATTTCAAAGTCTAATATATCTGTATATGTTGCGAAAATGTAAAAAATAACATATTTATAGTTAAAATGTTTTTAAAATACCACTGTTAATATTTGAATTCATAAGATACTAAATCATTACCAGACTTGATAAATACACAAACCTCTGTTAATCAAGATATATACATAATCTCTTAATTGCAATATTTTAATATCATTAAAAATATAATTGTTTATATTATTGTCCATATACTTTACATAATCAATTATGATTTAAACAATATTTGTGTTTCAGCTAATTTTACAGAATCCGTTATGTTTAATTACATATGCATTGATATCGTGGAAATTTTTTCATGATAGAATATTAATAGAAGAAATAAACCTAATAGAATTTTTTGGATTTTCATATATTCAATATCAAGATAAAGTGGGTACGGGTTTACCATTTATCTTGGGCTGTAAAAGATAAAGATCTTATTAATGAAACGAATGACTAAATGCATTTCATTTTCGGAGTAATTAATAACTTATTTTTTCAATTCACAGTAATTTTGGTGTAATAAATTTATATAAATCTTTATTATACTAATGATAAAATTACAACTCTTATTTGTAATGATAAAATTACAATTCTTATTTGTAAGATGATTGGAGAAAAATAGACATTTAAAAATTCTATAGAAAATAATTTCAAATTATATAATCGTATAAAAAGATGCATTTACAAGGAATCTAAATTACATCTAAAGTATATCTAAATACAATAATTTACATTAGCTTAAAATTATAACAAAAATAAGTTTCTTTTTCACGATTACAAATATAATACGAAAAGCAAAAGACGCTTGTAACCTCTTTCTAATATACTTATGTAAATAATTTATATATAAGTAATAAATATTTAAATTATATGATAATTCATAAGTGTTATGGATGTAAACAGTTGAAAGCGGAATACAAAAGTGGGAGAGACATGGCCTCCCGGACAGTTTGTTTATAAACACAAGCCATCGAATTCGAGAAATGTTTCTACGCTAAAAACTCGAATATACGGTTATAATTCCGAAAAATAATGCCAATGAACCTTCCAAGGCTTATGCCCTACATCACGACAAATATCGGCCTAGCAACAGAGACCGGATTGCTACCGGCGTCACAAACTACTGCGAGAAGATTTAAGGGCTGCGCTTCACGGGCAGCGCTCAGTCCCAGTCTCACTCTAGTAACAATTACGCAGTCAACGCGACGGGCTCACTATTCAATCTTCAAGCTTCGCTTAACAGTCATCACTCACTGTAGCGATACACGTATGTAATACTTAAACAATAAGTAATCTAAGAATTCAATAGTGACTCCACATTATCAGAATCCGTTAACCAAACTTAAACTAATAATGTGCTAGTGCTAACATAAATGAGAGTGAAATGGTCTAAATCATACTACATATATTGACGGATCACATCGACGACTAAGGCAGCAGCAAACCGGTCCCCTTTAGAAAACTTCGGTACGACAGCGGCAGCTCTTACACACCGACACAAAGCAGTAGCGACCCGGTTTCGCTCAGATGACTTGGGTACGACAGCGGCACTTCTCGGTAGGGAAGCAGTCACTCCTCACACCAAGGAGAATACACACACTCCTCAGCACATAACACAATTGAAGAACTTCCCCAATTTATTCATTCATACCCTTTATGATCATTAATTATTTATTATATTATTATATTTAATAAAGGAAAGATAAGAAAGACTGCTTGTAGTATTGAATAATTGCATTGACCCTTCTACTTGCCAGCAAACCCTCCACCCACCATCAAAGGGAGGGTTTTTAGTCTTATCTCAGACAATAAGAAATACTTAAAATCTATGGAAAGAAGATCGAACTGCCAATGTTCGATACTTCAATTTAATTTGTTGTTCGCCTTAGTGGATATTTAGGTAAGGATTAAGTGGAAGGGCCGTAGAAGTATACAGTGTGTGTACACTTCGTTAAATATCGTTTATTATAGTTTATTGACAATTACATTATTGATGGTGATGATATTGTTGTTGATCTTGTAAGGATCAGCAATGGATTATGCACACTCCTTGGAAAGGAGTATAGCTTATTTAGGTAATTGAGGCTTTTGCTAATATTCTAACGATTAGCAAAGAGTTCTACTTACTCATGGAGGGAGTGTGGCTTAATTGTGTAATAGTTACCCTCAATAGAGACTACTGGTATACCTTTGTGATAAGGAGTACTGCGATACCTTTGTCAAATATTGTCTTGTAATGCAGTCCGCACCCTTGACTGCTTGTTCACTGTTGCGCACTGGAGAATTGGCGTGTGTTCCTTGTTTTAATGGCTTTTTTGAGAAAGTGTGATTGAGTGATTGGCTCATAGCTGAATATCGCGTATTTGTGATGTGCTTTTTTTAAATATCTACGCGGCAGCTTAGCTGGCAACAATGGATAGGTGTTTTTTGCAGAACGTTCGAGAATAAAGCTTTAGAAGGTTGGAGACTTCCGAGAAACAATTTTTACAGAATTCGAGAACTAGAAGGATTATAAATTTCCGAGAGCCAAAGGTCTTGGAAAATACTCCAATTTTGAATAGATAATCAGATAAATGTGATCACATATTGTGATTGAACATATAAAAAAGAGGTGACTTGTGGATGTCCTTATATTACTTTTTGGTTGATATTTCCTATTTTATCGCTGCATTCTATGACCTTATAATTTTCTATCACTCGATGGTTCCGACATTTAATCTTTCTTGAACAATAATATATATTTTTGTGTTATTTTTAATAAAAAAAAATGTATGCATTTTCTAATTGATGCGTATCTCCTTAATAATAGTAAGTAATCGAGTTCTTCCTTTTACTTGTAAACAGAAAAAAACTTCATAAAATATTACAAATGTTCTACAACCATCATGATACCTTTTTTAAATTGAACTTTGGTAAATATATATTACGTTCCAACAAAGAAACTAATAAGCATTTTCATTATTTATGGAATTTTTAATTTTTAAACTTTTAAAAGTAAAAGGTTTTTAATTTCTATAATTATATTTTATAAAATTTCATGAAATCAGACAATTTTTATAAACGGTAACTTACATAATGTACAGTACGCTGTTACTAACGTATTACTAAATTATATCTAAACTTGCTTGCAATAATGATTTTTGAAAATATTCCTGATTTTAGTACATGATTTTTCGTACTACAGGTAAATGGAAATAATAAAATAATTTATGAACAAGATTATAACAAAATAATATTAAGCAGTTACAAATTTTATTAAATGTTATAAAGACATCATTGCAAAATATAGAAAATTAAATTGTGTAAAGTTGTAAATTTTGATAATAAAATTCATTTTCATTTTAATTTGTTCAATGAAATCAATTTTTTATTTTATTTGATTATTTAAAAGTTTGATATTCATTATTTATATTAATTTTATTATTAATAATAGAATAATTAATAAATATTAAATTTCACAATGTATAATATTTTTTAAAGCACTTTAATGATTACATTTTATTAGAATATTAACAAAGTAGTACAATAAATTTGTACGTAAATTATTTTAAAAGGATTGCGATCAAACTAGAATAATTTTATAAATTATATGAAAAGTAGAGTTTACGCATTAAGAGCCATGATTTAATGAATACCATTAGTACATTTTTTAATTATTTACTCATAAAAATTAAATATAATTAAATTTATAAAATATAAGTGAAAAGGCATCTTTCGATATTGATTATTATTCATTTTTTGTTAATTTTGATGTTTAATTTTATCTGTAATTCTAATTATTTTCCTTTCAGCTCATTTTATATTGTATAGAATATACTATAAACATAAATGCTTGCATTGTATATTTATTAATATAAGTAGAATCATTTTAATTTAATTTCTAAATTAATTTAAAAAATAAATTAAAAAAATTCTACGTATATTAATAAATATTCAATTCAAACATTTGAGATTATATTAAAATTTCTAAATTTCTAAACACTAAGTATATTCAAAAAGACTATGAATAATACATGATAATATATTAATAATTACATAATTCGATTATGATTATTTTGTAAAAAATTTTGTACTACGAATTATTAGTATAAAATCTATTATATATAGTTTAATAAGATTCTGAAATAATCTTAAAACTACTCAGTTAAAAAATGAAAGTTGCCAATAAAAAACTTTTTTAATAAATTTTTTTAATAATATGCATAGACTAAAAACTTTGAAAATTGTTACAAAAAATTATTGTATAAAGTAATATTCGAGAATGCGAGAACATTTTTCCTTTTTTGTCAGTGCAATAAAACATCTGGCAAGTAACATCGTAAAATTTGTATTTGGATTTCAAAACTTCGCTTGTTCAAAATTCTCACGCATTAGTGTCATAAAACATCTGGAAAAACAATACCATAAACACGAGAAAACCCATAGTTAGACATCTGCATTTTCGTTCCGCTCGGTAACTACTTCAAGCATTACTGCAAGCGGACCTTCCTTTCCCTTCCCCCTATCAACAAGTTGCAATGTTGTCACCAGATGTGTCAGCAATGCCCCCCTTTCCACTGTCTACATGCTGTCGCATGCGGCAGCAGCAATGAAAGATCTGCTCATCATGAATGACCCAGAGACGACTAGGCCCTTAATTAACTCCGAAGCCAAAAGAGGCGCTGATTGGACAGAAAATAAGAGAAGGGGTTCAAGTAAAATTCATGGTCAGCAAATGTATTTAAGGGGCTTAATTTTCAATACTTATTTACTCTTGATACTTAACTCTCTTAATACTTATCATTCGTGATATTTAACTGTCTTGATAGTTTCTCTTTAGTAGTATTCTCGTGATATTACTTCTTTTTGATATCTCTCTTTTAGTAATACTCTCTCAATATATTAAACCCTTGAGATATTTCATACTCAGTTAAGTTTAGTGAAAGTCTATTTAGCGCTATTTCGGGAACGACTTACACTTCTTGGGATTGTCCATTAACACTGTTAGTGGAACAGTAGTTACTGCTCCGGAAGAACTACAACATAAACCCGTATGTCCACTAAGGCAGTTTAAGAAAACCCTCACCTTAGTTGAAGTTCGGAAGCTTACGAAAGTAAGCAAAACCCAGAGCAAGTGTCGACAATCCAGTTTGACGCCACTTTGCGATATCTTTCAATCCTAAAGCCGCATTCATAACCTCAACCACACACGTGCTCTTTCAAAAGACGCTAGTGTCGACGAACGAAACTTCGCGCCATTCATCATTCGTATTCAACAACCAAGCTGCATAGATTATTGTACAGTTGTCTCCGCAACGCATCACTTCAATCCAAGAATTTAGTTCTACTAGTAATAATAGTGATACTAGTCAACCTTGTCATTAATAAATAACAGAATAAATAGCATACTTCAGCCATATTTCTATTGTATTATTATAATATCCCTTCCACGTGTGACTTGTCATCGCTACCACAACACCCGTGGTGGTCTCTGAGTTGTTAACGGCATCAAATTGTATCCGTCGAACCGGCCTTTATAAGACAAGTCGGAACAACGAGTTGCAATTTGTACAAGTAATTTATATTTTATACTTAAACATTTTTCATTTTTCTTTTTAACTTACATTTTATTTCAAATAAAATATAGTTAATGTGATTATAACATATTATTAAAAAAAAATTATAATATGAGCATTGTAAGTATTATTTAATATGGTCACTGAATTGATTTATAAAAGTATTTGAAATATTTACTGCTTCAATTGATAAAATTTTAATTTAAATAAATAAATAAACAGCATGAAATATTATATTCATAAATCTGAAGATATCGTGATAAATTTAAAAATATAAATCCAAGGCTTAATAAAGCTCTACAAATTTTAATAATAACCGTATTCTATTTTTAAAAAGCTTATATTATTTGTAAAGTAAGTATAAGTACTATATGAAAATAGTTTAATAGTACTTACTGTTGACTTTAAATTAATAGACTAATATTATTATCTGTGTATTGTACGATTATCCACAATTATAGTGAAGATCCGTATAGAAATATGTCAACAGGAAGAATATGTAGCGAGATGAAACTATAACTTCTGGTAATGAAGTGGAAACATAGTAATATAAAAAATGGATCTCAGGAATTTGGAAAGGTCGTATCAAAACTCAATAGCCTAAATGGTCAAAATTAATTGCATTTTATGACTTCATACGAGTCAAGAATAGAGTAGTATGTATTTCTATGTTTACGGTGGTGTAATTGCTAGAGGTAAAGTAATGATTACAAAAAATATGTATTACGGAAGATAAACCTATGAAAGACAAAAAGAAAAAAAGTATGTGGATAATCGCATTGAAAATAAAATTTACAAACATTGTAATTCCTCATTTTTCAAAAAAACTTCGTATTGGTGCTCTTTTCTTAACTTTAAAAAATATAATCTGTCTGATATCTTTATTATAATTTTCCGTCCACCTTAGCGGAATCATGGGAAGGGATTTATTTAGTTTAATACATAGTCTACGCTTTTTAGTTAAATATGGTTTATGATTTATTTACAATTACATTATTGATGTGTTGAATTTATGCGATGGAAGGGTATATGCTATGTTCAATCATGAAGATTCACTTGCTTGGAACTGATCCTGTAGTGAATGGTACACGAGATGCTTCTTGATGATGTTAATCTTGTAAGGATCAGCGACTAATTATGCACACTCCTTATTGGTAAGTATGTTTTGTGCTATATTAATAATAGTGTCGTGCCAATCCTGTAAGGATTATTCATTAATTATGTATAGACTTGAAGGCCATAGTCTCAAACCATTATCTTGGAGCATAGGAGAATCGATGCGTCTTCCTTCTATCGTGACCTTACATTGAGAGTACGAGGTGAGTAGTTTACTGGCTAGCTAGCCCTTCATGGATGAATAGCATGACTGCCTGGATTACTGACTCGTCTCGTGCTGTACTTGCTTTAAATATCCATGCGGCAGCTTACTTAGCTGACAACGCTGTGTTTCTAAGCCGCAAGTCTGGTGACGTCATAGACTCAGTTCTAAAAAATTCTAGGATTTCAGAAAGACAAAGCTTTGGAAGGTTCGAGAATTTCGAATCGATGTTGGTATGCGAAAATATTACAGGGCACTCGAAAATTAAGACATAATATATTCGAGAATTTGCAGAAACAAAGTTTAGAAACATAAGCGTCAGAAGGTTTGTACTTTTCCCATTTTAAAGTTCTTGGAAATTGCTTCAATCCCGAACGTTGTAATTATTTTAAAATTATAGACAAATTTTTAATTAATATTTACGTTATATGTTTCACCTATTATGCTTTATAAATTTCATACAATTTTAAATATCATCATCATTTACCTGCTTGTAAAATTATTTTTTTTCATGTAAATAAATATTATTATTGCAATATATCAATATGAATCAATGTTTTCAAATTATGAAATAAATCCATAATAAACATTTTTTAAATATTACATTGAAAGAAAGAAATTAAAAATTTTTTCTATTATATAATATATTTTAAGAAATTTAAAAGTAATGATAATTCAAACAGAAATTCTATTTATTTAAAAAATTTATTTTAATTTAATTTCGATATTTTAAAAAATTACATTTTTTTGTTTATAATTATTGTATAGAATCATTTTGTTTGCATTTAAATCTTAAAAACTTATAAAACAAGTTTTATAGTTTTCATATCAAAGAAAATCTACATCACAATGCGTGGGATAAATATATGTGTTCATGTAGTAAAGTGATTCTGCGCAGTAAGCACAAATTCATTGAACTGTCCTGAAATTATGCCTTAATTCTTCTTAAACAAGCAGTAATCGTGCGTCTAATTTCACATTTTTTTAAATTGTACAATTATTTATAATCAAATGTGTTTTCGAAATTTAAAAATTATCAATTCACAATTTTCTTGTTTATTTTTCAATGAAGGTACAAGTACTAATGTGTACATACCTATGTTTTGGTGTGTATTCATATCTGTATTATAATTTGCTAAATATATTAGTATGATAAATAATAAATATTATAAATTTTTTAATTATGTTATTTTGTTATTTTACATATTAATATATAGAGAGATATATTTTTAAATAATTAATAAACTATTTCACAAGTTTTGATAAATAAAACCTATAAGCTTTAAATCTATTTCTTTATTTTATTAGAATTTTTAATCTTTTCTTTAAATTCAATAATGTAAATTACTATCTCAAAACAATGAAAAGAATATTACCAAACAGTTTTATAAATGTAAATTTATTATTATCTATAAGTTAAGATATTTCTATAATTTTTAAATATAAAGTAAATTAACATTTTTAATATATGTAACAAATATGTGCATTTAAAAATATTTCTTGTAAGAAATTGAATTCATGTTATCTTTCCTATTTAACATTACACAATACTTATTTATTACTTAATATTTTATATTAATTCAATTATAGAATTACATACCAAACAGTATAATATTCTTCATTTATGTCACAACATTAATTTATTTTTGATAATTATATATAGACTGTAAAAATATTTTTTGTCGTGATTAATAAAGATTTCAAATACATTAATAATTAATATTATTTAATTATTAAATTAAAATCTTTAACTAATGGTTAGTATAAATATGTAATTAGTCAAATCTCTTAAAGTTATTTAGTCTTTTGTTATATTTATACTTAGTATCGTAGGTACTAGACACACAAGTATATAATAATATTTTTGTGCAAATTCTAATATTTTTTGGATTTTTACAAATTTTTCTTGAGTTTATACATTAATGTAAATAAAGAGAAAAAGACTGTTTATTCGAAAACGAGCAGTGCGACCATAATTTTAGGAATTGTTAATGTAGTCTTAATCCACATTATGAGAAGGGTCCCAATTTCAATAAATTTCTATGATAAATTTTAAATTAACAGAATCAAAGTACAAAAAAGTTTAAATACGAAAAATAACAATGACTTTTTATTCATTTTAATAAATGGTACATCTGTGTAGTTTATTTTGATATTTATCTTATAATATTTACAAATTGTAATCTATATTATTTATATATCTATACATATTTATCTATCTATATATATAAATATTTATATAACTAAATTATTGGTACTCGTAATTAAGTTAATATTTACAATACTAAATTAATTAAAGTTACTAAAATAAAAGTTTATTCTCAGTTTAAACATTTCTTTTCTTATATGAACAAAATTTTTTTTAATATTGTATCTGGTATTGGATATTATTAGTTTTCGACATTTATATATAATATAAATTCCAAATTTATTGATTTTTGACCAATAAATTCTATTTCATTTGCAAATAATTTGGTGCAGATACAAAACATACGAAATAAATATTTTGTATTTAGAAAAATCATTATTATTGTTGTTATTATTTTTTGTTACAGATAATTAGTGTTTTCAATGCATATTTAAGAGGATATAAATAAAATATGCTTACCAAGAATATATAATCTGATTATTGCATATACGTTTAGATTATCATCTGTTTTATACGAAAGATGTCCCACTTTATTTTGTAAATTATAAAAAATCAAATATTTTAATATTTATTAGTTATATTTTGTTTTTAGTTTATCTCAGTAAAGTATTCTAAAAAAAGCATGAAAAAAATATTTAAATAAAGATCAACGTTCAAAATTATAATTTGTTGTTTATCAATGTTTAAAATTATTTTAAGGAAAACTTTATATCATATAATTGCATTTTTTAATAAGAAACAATTTTTAAGTTAAATATGTTATTTATATTTTTACTTATTGAAAATCATAAAACTCGTCATTACTAAAAAAAAAAAAAAAAAATACCCACTAAAATTAATCTTGTTTTGATACAAATTTTAAGAATATTAATTATTAAGATAATATTTTTCTCTGGAAATGATATTTATGAATATAATATTAACCATAAGGAAATTAAAAAAACTTTAAAAAGGACTCTTATTAGTTAATATTCAGAAATGGATTTCAATTATAATTTTTATTGTATCAAATAATTTTAACGTAACTATATTCGATAAATATATAATATAGATTATATTAAAAACAACGAAAAATATGAATTTGTAAGTTTTTTATACATATTTTTTAAACTTTTGATTAAGTACAGTATTTCGTAAATATGTATTATTACAATTCTTTAAGTAATACCTTGTAAGCAGTATATTTCAACTACCTAACATAATAGGATTTAATCTGCAACATTTTTTAAATTTATTAAGTTGAAATGATATTAATAATTTTCAAGACATTAAAAAGACACGAAAAAGATATAATTTGATTTTGTCAACAAATTTTCTTAAATTTTCTATAGTTATAGAAAATGGACTTCATATCAGTGAGCTTATTAATTTTACAAATGTGATTATGTTCACAACCCCAACTTAAGTAAAATATAATACCAATGCAAAGTTAGATAACATTGAGTTATTTAAATAATATACTTTTAGAAGAATTGGATAATATTTTCAATTAAAATGTTTGTTTTAGGTTTTGTTCTTGGTTTGAAAGAAGTCCGAATTCAAACTCCTATTGCAGTTAAAAAAGGTGAAAGTACAAAGTTATATTGCTGGTATGATATAGAAGGAGATCCTTTGTACATAGTTAAATGGTATAAATCTGGCCATGAATTTTATCGGTATGCACCACAAGAGAAACCAGCAACTAAATCATTTGTAGTTGGGAATTTACATGTAAAGGTATCACAATTTATAATTGTTTTTATTATTAAAAATGGTATACGTAATTTCTTTTAATAATATATTTGATTAATATTCTTTTGATACATTTTTTCAATGCAATATAACATCTGGAAAAAAACATCGCAAATTTGTCTTTTTGATTTCAAAACTTTCTTGCTCACAACCATCTAGCAATAGTGTCATAAAACATCTGGAAAAACAAAATAATAAACACGGGTAAACCCATTCAGTTAGGCGTATGTACGAATTTACTCCGCTCGGTAACTACTTCAAGCAGTATGTACTAGCGGACCACCCCCTTCCCATTGTCAACAAGTTGTCATGCTGTCGCCAGATGCGTCAGCGGCAATGAGAGCTCTTCTTGCCATGAAGACCAAGAGACGACTAGGCCCTTAGTTAACTATGAAGCCACAAGAGGCGCTACCCTCGCACTGTAAGGGAGGAGTCTCGGATTGGACGAAAAATATGGGAAGGGGTTCAAATGAAGTTCATGGTCAGCAAATGTATTTAAGAAGCGCATTTTTCAATATTGAAACACTCTCGATACAGCACTAATTCAAATAAGAAGTGGAAGTTTCCTATTAACGTAGTTCAAGACAACTATCGTTACAAATCCTATTGGCAGGAGACTATTCCCTTATCGAAGTCCGAAGACAAGTGTCCAGTGACAGCCATCTTGAAGAAGGAAGAAGGATGTTCCGATAATAAGTATACCAGTTGTCTTCGTAAGTAGTATCATTACTACAATACTCACAAAACTCTGAGATTCAGAGATTACATCATCAACAAGCAACCAAAGAAGAAGAGGTTCTCACCAGAGAGACAGTGCGGAATAAGTGCAAACTCGTCGTCAAGGTCGCATCAACTGATGCGAGACTTGCCGATCTTACCCTCATCTTAGGTAAAAGTCTGACGCTTATGAATCCACAGCGTCCCATTCAACGCTCATAGCAGATGCAATACGTAGCAGTATCCTTGCCGAGCTAAAAGTCCTCAAACTCTTACTTCCATCTGAATTTATTGCAGTACGCCAATATCTGGACAAGGTGCGGTTGCTACGATATGATTATATCTCAACTAACGATAACAACATGAGTCACACTTTATTACAACTATAAGCACAAGTGTCGACGAATCAAACTTCGTGCCCTTCTGCGCTGACATTCGAACCATTACGTTGCATTAGATGAGTGTACTTTGCCACTACAAACACATTAATCCACCTCAAAAGTCATTTTTATAATTAATAATAGTAATACTAGTCACGCCCTGTAATTGGATAAATAACAGAAAAACAGCATATACACCAGCCATATTTATATTGAATTATTACAATATCCCTTTCACTTGTGACCTTTCATCTCTATCACACAACACCCATGGTCTCTGAGTTGTCAACGGCATCAATGTGTCTCCTTGGAACATGTCTTGGTAAAACAAGCCGGAACGGCGAATACATTTTGTACATTATGAATATATTAAAGATCTTTATTTTTTATATTCATATATGAATTTTATTTTCAGTTATGATTACTGCACACAGATTATTATAGTATCAATGTAAATTCAAATATCTATTTATCTAAATTTTTTCAAGAAAGGTTTAAATTTTCAGCAACATAATCAATCATTGCTCAAGAATTTAAGAGCTTTCCTGGATTTTTTGAGTCATAAATAAACTTTTCTGTAAAATATGTACCAGTTAATTGATCATTTTGGCATATTAATATTATTGAAATTTATTTTTGAATGATCTTATTTCCTAAAGTTAATTCTTTAGCTTTCTGAATAATTAATTATGATTACTACTTTATGCAAAAGTTATAAAAATTTATCCGCGGTTTATATTGTAAAATATCTGTAGGCATTGTAGTTTGTGCATATCTATTAAGTATATATTCTGAAATCTAATTTTTTTTTAAAAAGTAAATATAAATATAATTTTATTTAGAATTATATAATGTCAATTGCGGTATAAAAAATTATAGAATGTAACTGTTTGAGATTGAGAGAATCTCTCGTATATTATGTGTTTGGGGAAAATGCCAACGGCTATAATTTAAGTGGAAATTATTCAATGGTCACAATTTTTAAGAATTGTTGAACGATCGATAGAGGTTCGGAAAGGTCGTACAATGATAATACAATATAAATTTGGCTGAGTATATGCTGTTTATTCTGATATATATTTTGATGACAAGGCTTGACTAGTATTACTATTATTAATTATGGAAATAATTTTTGTGGTGGATCAATGTACTCTCATGTATGAAGCATGATTATTGAATTTGACCGCAGAGTGGCGCGAAGTTTGATTCGTCGACAGTCGCGCTGTTTGGATGACCACGTGCGTAGTTGGATCTCATCTATGAAGCGTGATGATTGAAATTAACCGCAGAATGGCGCGAAGTTTAATTCGTCAACACTCGCGCTGTTTGTTGCTTAAGTTCATAAGCGTCCGAACGTGAACCAAGATGAGGGTTACCGAAAAGACGCCGTTTTAGCGGGCGCGAACTTGACGACGCCTACTTTATTACACTTTATTTATTATATAATTTATTATATAATTTTATTATACTTTATTCTGCATGTTGCTCTGGGAAGAGCCTCTTCGTCCTTAGTTACTTGTCGATGTCATAATCTCTGAATCTCCGAGTACATAATTATTGTAGTAATAATATTACTTACGAAGACTGCTAGTATACTCGAAATTGGAACCCCCTTCGTCTTTTTTCAAGGGGGCTTGTCAGTGGACACTTGTTCTTCGAATGCGACTTCCGCCAATAGGACTTGTAACTATAGTTGTATTGAACTACGTTAATAGGAAACTTCCAGTGTGTCCGGACTTCAATAAGGTAATGCATCTCCTGCCAATAGGACTTGTAACTATAGCTTTGGTTGCACTAAGTTAATAGAAAACTTCCACTTCATAATTGAATAAGTACTGTATCGAGAGTGATGAATATTGAAAAATGCGTCCCTTAAATACATTTTCTGTACATACTGCTTGAAGTAGTTACGGAGCGAAGTGAATTCGTACATATGTCTAACTGAGTGGGTTTACCCGTGTTTATTGTATTTTTTTCCAGATGTTTTATAACACTATTGCTAGATAGTTGCGAGCAAGAAAGTTTTGAAATCTAAACACCAAATTTACGATGTTGTTTTGCCAGATGTTATATTGCATTGAAAAAAGGTCTCGCAATCGCGAATACAGTGTTTATAGTGTTGACCAGGAGCTACTCTCGTCGCGAAGACTAAGAGACGAATCAGCCCCCCAATTGAAGACGCTGTGGCTAGAGGCGCTCTTTTTTATGTTGTCACTGTCGAAACCTAACTCCTTCTGAATCCGGAAAACAGACATGCATACTCAGTCGTGCCGTGGGCTCCGATTAGATTAACTAAGGTGTTACGAATGGAAGCAGTTAAAGGCGGAATACAAAAGTGGGAGAGGTATAAATATATATATATATTACGTTGCAAACACAATTCAGCGAATTCGGAAGATCTCAGTACGCAGAATTCTCGAATATTAGATTATAATTCCGACTAGCAATGACGATGAACTCTCCAGTCTCTACGACGGGAGTCAAGCGTTCAAGCGTTCAAACGTCACCACTACAGACATCGTTATCCATAACTGCTCACGTACGTAAGCATCAAGCAGTCCAACGAACTAATAGTGAAGCCACATCTATAAAGGCGGCCCAACGCCCATGTAAGCAACGCAACTTCCGTTCCTTACAACCACATCTATACCGGAGGCACTAACGCCCACATAAGCAACGCACACTACCGTTCTTTACAACCACACTCACACCAGCGAACCTCTCGCTCACGTAAGCAGTGACGCAACACGGACGTCCTCCCTACCACACAGACAGCAGCTGCTCTCACGCTACACCAGCGGCTAAGGCAGTATCGTCTCACTCGCCCCTTCAGTGCGCGTCTACTACTACAGCGTCTCGTTTGTAAAGGGAACGGATCGCGCCTCACTCTACCAAGAGTACATACACTCTTACCATCATGTCAAACAATTGAAGAAACTTCACCACCAAATTCACTAACGGGATCCATTCACACACCTCTGACCATTAACTAATTGTTATATTTATTATATTTAATAAAAGGAAAGACATTAAACTCTACAAGTATTATTGAATAATTGCATGGCCCCCTCCACTTGCCAGCAACACCTCCACCCACCATCAAAGGGAGGTTTTTAGTCTGATCCCAGACATAAGGCTTATGCTTACCTTGAGTGGGGGCTTACTGTGAGAGACCTTAAAAGTGGGGACAACTCAGATACAAAAAGCTATCTAAGTAGAAGCCACAAAATAATGGAACATTTGGTAACTTACTAACTTAATTACACATTGCCATCGCCAGCCCTTTTGAGATTGGGATATTGCTAGATGGCGAATAATAACTGCATCACCAGCTCCTTCGAGACTGGGATGACAGTGAACTACCCATCACAGGATCAGATCAAGGGTGCTGCATTGCTGTGAGTATACAAACTCGCATTGTCATCGCCAGTCCGTCTGAGACTGGGATGACGCAATCATTAAACAATATAAATCACATTCGCTAAAAAGAAGTGTGCCACTCAATTGTTGATCCTTACAAAATCAACAATAAATCATAGATTTCAAGGAGCATCTTGTGTAGTAAAAACATCCATCACATGAACCGTTTCAAGCAATCGTATTTCTGTAATTAAAATTAGGATACATTTAATAGATCAATAATATAATTGTAAATAAAATGTAAATAAAATATATTCATTGAAATCGCACTATATTTGTAGAACCCTTCCACTTATCTTCTTTCCAAGCCTTTGCTAGGGCGGGCGGCAAATATAAGCTATCTAACCATTGGCAGTTCGTGGCAGGAAACTATAATTTCGAACAGTAACTTATTTATTATTTTCCTTAAAATAAGAATATTAAAATAAAATATAAAAAAGCTAACTTCTTAAAACGAATATAGTATAAAAATGATTAGAATAGTTTGGTATATCATTATGTTCGGAATTGGAGCATTTTATTCAAGGCCTTCGGTTATCAAAATGTTTAGTTTCTCACATTGATTTCCCAATTATCCTGTTACGGATTGCAGCATTTTTATGCGGTAAACAAAGTGGGCGAGATAAAGTCACCTATGTTTAGTTAGAAAAACTTGCGCCGAGTCATAAACAATTCTGCGAACTCGAAAAGCCTCACTACGCAAAATAGTCGAATGTACGACCATAATTCCGAGAAGTATTAACACGTGAACCCCACAAAGCTATGCCCTATTGACGTCACGAAAAATAGCGGCATAGTAACTGCCACCGATGCGCTGTCGTCGCATCGAGTTCGTCCGAGAATATTTAAGGAGCCGCGCTTGACGCTCTCGCCCTCTTACTAGATCACTCAAGCATTCATCAAGATCGGATCGCAGTCCTATAGATCGAACCCAGCTCAACGTAAGCCAAGCTAGTCTCGGCCACCTAACACTGCACAGAACGACTCCAGCCCAACGGAAGCCAAACTCACTAGGCCCACCAACGCTGCAGAGATCGACTACAGTCAACGGAAGCCAAGCTCACGACCTACCAACGCTACTACACGGATCGACCTTAATACACGTAAGCCACGCTATTACACACGTTCTTACATCTATCATCAATGCAACTGAGATCGACTCCACTCACGTTAGCTACGCTATTACACACGTTCTTACGGATCACTAATACACTGCTCCTATCAACTAAGTAAGCAGCAATACTAATACGTGATATACGGTACGAGGAATACTCCCACCCGTCAAGCAGTGACGTGACACGGATATCCTCACTCCCACTAGACCGCTACAGCATGCATCTCGCGAGCGGTAACGGCATCATCACTGCCCTGCATCAGTGACGTCACACAGGCGCCCCCCACTCAGGCCACTACAGCTCTTCGCGGCAGCGTCAAAGGCGGCACCATCACTGCCCCGCATCAGTGACGTCCCACAGGCGCCCCTCACTCAGGCCGCTACAGCTCTTCTCGGAGCGGCAAAGGCGGCACCATCGCTGCCCCTTATCTGCGCGAATCTCCCACTACCACTGCGAGTTCATAACTACGAGTAGGAGAATCAGGCACCAAGTTGCCAAGAATATACTTACAGGATTCTTGTCGCTCATATTAATTGGAGAAACTCTCATCTGTTCACTGTAGCATACATTCAATTCGATATCCATAGACCACTGACTATTCATTATATTTATTATATTCAATAAAGGGAAAGACACTAGATCCAAGGGCAGTGTTGAATTATTGCATTGTCCCTTCCACTTGCCAGCAAGCCTCCATTCGCCATCTCAGGGAGGCTTTTAGTCTCATCCTAGACATATCCAAAAACAGAATTCTCGAACGTTCAACAAGGCTACCATAGCCTTCGTATCAACGTCGATGTAATTCTCGAATCTTTCAATGTTTGCTTTCGCCGAATTTTTGAATAGCCGAAAGCTTGTTTCGAGCTAGAGTTATTTGCCACGCCGCTACTTAAGAAAGTGCGCGTCAAGATTCCACGAAGTTAACATAAAGCAGTCATTCATTATGCAGTATCGGTAGTCATAAGTACACAGTATCAGTTATTCCTCACAGTCAGTCAGTGGTCCTAGCCACTTACCTACGCCCAAACCACGCTATCGTACGGAGTATACACCAAAAAGAAGGTCACGCAACATACGCTGATTCAAGGCAGTCATTGCAAGGAACGCTCGTTCACGTCTCCAGTGCACCAAACCAACAATCGGTCAAGGGTTAACTCCCGTTAGTTGACTACACAAAGCATGGTATCTGATCCTTCTACCCTCGAAGGTATATCATCTGTCTTTATTGCGAATAACTAGCACACTGATACTCCTATACTCCTCTTATGAGTATCGTTGACTCTCCTTGCTAACTACCACCACCACTTTCCCATGCTCACCTGATGAGCATGGTCGACTCTTCTTGCTAACCTTTACAACGTCAGCATAGAACTCAATAAGCCATATTCCCCTTCAGGGAATATACAAAAACCGTTGCTGATCCTCATAACATCATCAACGACTTCGTCATCATTACCAAGAAGCAACCACATTATTCTAATAGATAAATTTCCTCTCTCCTACAAGAATTAAAAATAGAACAATATTTTAATTGTTAATAAAACAGAATAAACGATTTCTTAAAACGAAGTAACACACTGTACCTATTTACAGTCCTTTTACATGTGTCCTTTCCTAAGCATCAATACAGCGACAGACTAAGAAACTAAACTATTGAATTTGGCAGTTCGAGCCAGAAACTAAACTTTGGAACACATTACTTAAATATTCAATAAAAAATCAATATTAAATAATGTTCTAATAAATTTGTACTTATAGCAAAAATAAATTATTCAAATAATTTATTATATTTCAAATGCGAAATAAAATTCATTTCAAATATACAAATTAAACAAATATAACAGGTAAAAAACGTAGTTCTGTGATGTATATTTTTGATTGTATAATATTTATCAATTATACAAATATATAAATTATATTATGAATTTATTAATAATTGATACAAAATTAATGTTTATATTTATTTGGAACTTCAAAAAAAATGAACATGAGATTCTTTTAATTGAAATTTTTATTTATCAATTTATTATTATATAATTTGAATGAATTTTATATTTATTCATACTGCCGTTTCTTCTGTAATTATGATTATTTGAATGTATAGAATTTAGTTATCAATTTTTTTAATATATTATTTTATTTTAATATATTTATTATTTTTTTAATATATTATAATATATAATTTATATATATATATACAATAATGTTTACTAATTTATTATTGAATTTTTAGGAATCAGAAAGTAATGCAACACAAGTAACTTTAATAAACGTTGATGTGGATGCTGCTGGTTGTTTTAGTTGTGAAGTTTCAGCTGACGCTCCGTCATTCCAAACTGCAATTGCTTCTGGAAACATGAACGTAGTTGGTAAATTATGAATTTATATTTAAAATTAATATAATATTTTTTATATGTGTAAATAATAACTCAATAATAAGTAGTATAATGATTAAAAAAGAATACAAATGAAGATATTGTTATTCCTGCAAGATAATGTAATTAGTATAATAATAACCTAATACTTTTTTATGTAATTTATATTCGTGTATATATACGTGTTTCCTCCAGGTAGCTTCAGCAAGTATTGCGGCGTCGTTGGTAAGAGATAGTGCGCCATGATTCACGATACAGCGACAGACTGCGGTAACAGTAGTAGTAACAGCGTGTTCTCTCTTTGGTGGTTCAGATAATTGTAGCCCGTTGATAGATACGAATGTTTCATGGTAATCCTACTAAGAGAGACCGTGTTAAGAACTTTGTCTTGTCGCGAGCTTGTTTTATATTCGCCTGACAGTTTAGTTAGCGAGCAACAATGGACAGCTTTAGAAGTTTCGAGAATTCTAGGAAAGCAAGAATTAGAAGGTCGTCGTTGCTATGCGGAGACTAAATAAATATTACAGGACGTTCGCAAAAAAAGGCTTTCGAATGATCGAGAAATTTCGGAATCAATGTTTACGATTTGGCGAGCTGGCACGATTATAATTTCCGAAAATTAAAATTCTTGGATAGTGCTCCAATCCTGAAAAACCTTTTTTAATAATATTTGAAATTATAAAGATAATTTTCTGAATCAAATTTGTGTTTATTTCTGTAAAATATTAAAATAAAAATTGGATTAGAAAATTATGAATAGTAATTCGAAAATAATATTAGTTTTAAGATAAAGTAAGCAAATTTAAAAGTAAACAAAACGAATATGTGGAAGTTTGTTTTGCATTTTGATTATTAATGTAAAATAGATAAATAATACCGTACAAAATGTATTCACCATTCCGGCTTGCTTTACCAAGGCCGGTTCGAAGGATACAAATTGACGCCGTTCACAACTTAGAAACCACGGGTGTTGTGTGGTAGCGATGAAAAGTCACAGGTGGAAGGGATATTATAATAATACAATAAATAAATGTGGCTGAAGTATTTACTTTTTATTCTTTTTGTTCTGTAGAACTAAATTCTTGGATTGAAGTGATGCGTTTCGGAGACAACGTATACACATCTATGCAGCTTGATGGTTTGAATATGAGCGCAGCATGGCGCGAAATTTGATTCGTCGACACTTGTGCTGTTTGTGTGAGCACGTGCGTAGTTGACATTATGGTTGTAATAAAGCGTGACACATGTAGTTGTTGTTACTTGAGATATACTCATATCGTAGCAACCGCATCTTGTCTTGATATTGGCGTACTGCAATTAATTTTGATGGAGATAAGAGTTTGAAGGGCGTTTCCCTCATTAAGGATTGTTGCTTGTTGTGTCTTCTGCGAGCGTTGAATGGCCCGCTGTGGATTCATAAGCGTCAGACTTTTAACTAAGGTGAGGGTAAGGTCGGCAAGTCTCGTATCAGATGATGCGACCTTGACGACGAGCTTGGAATTATTCCGCACTGTCTCTCTGGTGAGAGCCTCTTCTTCTTGTCTCTTTTCCTTGATTGTCGATGACGTATTCTGAATCTTACGTTTTATTTAATTATTGTAGTAATAATACAACTTACGAAGACTAATCGTTGACTCGTCTCCGGACTCTGATATGCGGATTGTTGTCGCTCCCTTTGAACATGTAACGACGGTTTCTTGAACTGCGTTAGTGGACATACGGAGATATGTCGTCATTCCTCCAGGACGTGTAACTACTGTTGCCTTGAACAGCGTTAACGGACAATTCGAATACGTGGAAGTCGTCGCTTCTTTTGAACATGTAACGACGGTTTCTTGAACTGCGTTAATGGACATATAGGTGTACAGGTTGTCCTTCCTCCAGGACTTGTAACTACTGTTACCGTGACAGTGTTAATGGACTTCCACTTGACTCTTATTTGAATAAGAACTATATATAAAGTGAACTATATCAAGAGTGTACTATATCGAGAGTGTAATATCGAGAGTGATGAATATTGAAAAATGCGTCCCTTAAATACATTTTCTGGCCATGAATTTCACTTCAACCCCTTCCCTTATTCTTCGTCCAATCAGAGACTCCTCCCTTACAGAGCGCGGACAGCGCCTCTTGTGGCCCTATAGTTAGTTAAGGGCCTAGTCGTCTCTTGGTCTTCATGGCAAGAAGAGCTCTCATTTCCGCTGACGCATCTGGCGACAGCATGACAACTTGTTGACAACGGGAAGGGGGTGGTCCGCTAGTACATACTGCTTGAAGTAGTTACGGAGCGAAGTGAATTCGTACATATGCCTAACTGAGTGGGTTTTCCCGTGTTTATTATATTGTTTTTCCAGATGTTTTATGACACTGTTGCTAGATAGTTACGAGCAAGAAAATTTTGAAATATCTTGTTTTGTCAGATCTTATATTGCATTGAAAAAAGGTCTAGCAATCTCGAACAAATACCTTAAGTTGATAACTATAGCACCTGCCATCCCCAAAAATAGAAACACACGCACGCGTGTACTTGTATATATACAGTTTGAGGAAACCTTCGATTTTTAATTTTCAATAATCGAATAATCCATCATTTTAGTTATTTTAATTAAATTAATAAAAAAATTAATTGTTCCAATTGCTAATTTATAACATGATAAATAAAGAAATAATTTAATATCGTTATAATCAATCAAAGATTGATACATTTTTTATTCATATATTTTCTTGGTTTGTAAATAATTTAAAATCCATTATTTTATTATATTGAAAGCAAATAAAAAATAATTGTATATTGTTCAGGTTTGACGCACCCAACAATTCTCGGTAAACGTTAAAGCCTTTGCCTAAGAAAGTCCTGAAATATATCCGCATAGCAACTACGCAAAAGCCTCGAGATGGCCAGAGTTTACTTTCCGGGAATTTGACAGAATTTCCAAAAATTGAAACTCTAGCGACACGCGAGCAAGCTTCGACACTGAAACACCAAAGGTATTAGTGCTAGACTCTAAATCTCCACGATTGTATATAAAGAGCGGTACAAGTCGAAGAAAATCAGTCTTGTTGAGTAAGTCTGTTCGGGATTGAAGCAGTTTAAGCAGAACGTAAAATAGGGAAAAGTACAAGCTCCCGATCGCTCAAATTTGTAAACACGATTCAGCGAATTCGGGAATTGTTCTATGCCTTAAATTCAAATATATGACAATATTTCCGCATAGCAACGCCGTTGAAACTTCTAGAATCATCCAAGGCTATGTCCTTTCACGCTTCTAAAACATTGCGTCATGCACCGTAGCACCGTACTTTTAACACTGTTGTTTTTAATTAATATATTTCACATACATATTATATCAGTTATTACTTGAAACTTATCCGCATATAATACTATCGGTCTAAAAAAAAACATACGTGTATTATCATTGGAATTTGCCACAACAGGACTGCAATTTAACTGTGAAGCCATTGGAATTCTAATCAATAAGGTGCACTAACCACGCTTCTACTCAGCATTCACTCTAGGTAGCTCAAGAGGTATATCTCTTTATTATTTATACACGCTAGTCATCCACGCTCTAATTATGTGACATATAAGTTATACAAAAGTGACGCATCACACGCGTTCTAAGACCCACTAGGCCGAAGGCCATTCGCTCACCCAGCTTAGTCGACACATGGTGAAGCCACACGCGCCCTAAGGCCTACCAGGCCGAAGGCCATTGTTCACCCAGCTTAGTCGACTTATTCGACCACGCGCCCTCAGGCATATCCTTCCGTACGTGAAATGTCGTCATTGCCTGTGACTAGCTCCTTTTAATCGATTTACGTAACAATTACCGCAGAGAATTCCGCATTTTCTCCTTTGAGCACACGTGCTTTCTCTACGAACCCCTATTGATTACTATGAGCATCGTCGATTTCTGATGCTGATCTTTACATCAGCATAACCTCAATTCTCAAAATATACAGTAATTTTCATAGCATCAACGACAACCAAAGACAAAAGAAAGCACCCTCTCTACTGCAATAGAATAATTCTCTTTCTCTTGAAGCAATCAATAAAACTGCAATATTATTATCATTCTTAACAAAAATAAACAATATTTTCATTCAAAATACATATTACATAATATTTTTCAGCCCTTCCACTTATGCCCTTTTCCACCTCTCGCTATGGCGAGAGACTAATCTACTGAACAATTAAATTGGCAGTTCGAGCCATAAAATAAATATAATTTTCAAACAAAGTCAAAGTGAAATAGCGCAAGTTACAACAGTTAAAAGTTCTACACATCTGTCTACGGGAATCCGTGCATGGTATACTTATTTGTTTACATTATTTATTATTAATTACGGCATTGCACCAGTATTATCGGTTAGGACTCTGCAACTTGATTTTTATCAGACCGCGGAAAAGGGCGCCGATACTGTTAGATAGTCCCCACAAGCCATACCACGCCGATTCTCTCCCCTTTATAGATCGCCGATGAGAGCGCTCATGGCTTCGTAACTCTTACGACCCCCCTCCCCCTCCCATAAAGATCGCCGTTGACAGCACCCATGGCCTCTCGACTCTTGCGATTCTCTTCCCTGTAACGTACAATAAGGCGTGCCCAGTACAACCAGACCAGTCTTGCCTTGCACTCCTGGACGACGTTCTACAGTTTATGGCCAACTGTTAGAATCACAACGAGCTCCATAATTCTCACAACGACCGGTAAAAACAACTACTAATGTAGCATAACCTTAAATAAAAGTCACTAAAATCAATTGTATTTATACTGAATTGATGCATTAACCGCTTACTCATCCCCCCTTCTCCACTATTAAACCGGCGGTACCGTCTAATCCAACGACTTTGGTTTTCGGACCATTCTGGTGCCGAATCTTGTCGGTCGCACTAGCCAACCGACCACGCCCTAGAGGACCCCTAATATCGCTAAGTTCAGAGAAGGGAGAGACGGCCAATAGTAGCAGCTCCCCTCCTTCCGATACTTTCCCGATTAGCATATTTAAGACTAGACCCGGAAGGAAGTGGAAATGAAGCCGTGCATGATCCATCATGCTGTCCAAAGTCAAACTCTGATTGGATACAGGAAAGAAGAAGGGGTCCTTAGTGGAACCGGGTCAGTGAACTTTTAAGAAGGACAATGCAATGTACCACCACTTATTCTCACCAGATAAGTCACGACTTATTCTCATGGAGGAGGACCAGAGAAAAGTCGATCAGCTGAGTCTTGTAAAATATCTTTCGACGGCTGTGATTCAATATTGAGTTACCTTTAGTCTTATAAAACTCTAATAGCACATGTACTGAGATTCTCGTCATCTCGGCAAAAGGGACAAGAGAAAGTTCAAGTGCAGTTCGTGCATGGAATCTTCCCATCAAGCCTGTGAGGAGAAACTGGAAATATCACACTACAACTTCCAAGTAAGTCCTTACTACTAATGTTGATTCTTCATCTCACGGTTTACTATGAAAACGAACCGCAAACTGTCCGACCACAGAAGCTTGCGCATGCTCATTACACAAGACCAGCAATTCGCGCCATACAGTGGCACACACTTCCTCTAACCTCTATCTTTGGCACATGCTCAATTACACGACCCACTATTCAGAAGAAACTGCAACACGTGTTAAGATTACGACACAAACAAGAATTTTAGTGTTCGTTCCGAACACAACAACGATCATAACCTCTCGAGTGGTAATATATAATAGTTTATAACTTATCTTTTTTCACAGTAAATCATTATTTGACCCGTTACGTCCAAGGAATAAGGAATTTATCACCTTCTGATTCTCCAATAAAAATATATCGCAACGCCACATTCATTATTAAGAACAATAAAGGTTCATTTATAATCTCCTCAAGAATAATAATCCCTACATTGGAAAGTAAATGGAATAAACAACAATAAGAAATACATGTGTTAATTATTGAATCAGTGCATTAACACTTCCACTTGCCCACGCATTCTCCCACACAACATCTAGTGGTTTTCTTAGTTAATTCTACACGTTTGTTCCGTGAGCCGGATTAGTGGAATTAATTTTGTATATAAAGTTAAAATAAGAGTTAGATATGTAGTGTTGCATATTTGATTTAACCTGAAATTTTATAAGTTCCTTTTTTAACCCATTTCTTACATATTGTATTATTTTATTCTATTATATTGTCAATAGGCTATCACACAGGAAATATAATGTTGGATTTAAAAGAAAAAATTGTCGAATAATGTTTTAATCGTTATAAAATGAGTAAAAACATAGAAAAACACTATCTCTATTGATGTTTTTATTGATAATTTATTGAAAATTTTCAATAAAATGTAATATTATTAAGTAACTTATAATATAATATTGTAAGGTAGTATAGGATAATTAAAAAAAACTATTAACCAAAATACTAACATAAGTATAGTTTACATAAAATATATTATAATTCAAAATTATTTATATTTATATTTAATAAATCAATAAATAAATATCCTTTTGATTCTCAATTTATGACAATAAAAGTGAAATAATTTTTCAAGCTACTTATACTTACCATTATTCATTTCTATGATTGATTAATATTAACAAATATTACATAATACAATATTTACTGTATGATAATCTGATAGATTAAAATTTAGGAATTGATGTACAAATTGATAACTTACAACTGTATAATTAATTTAATATTATAGTAATGAAATTATATTTTGTTTATATTCCATTTAATAAATCATGAAAATATAATATAATGTGTACATTAGAAAAGTTATAAAATATAGAACATATTTGAAATCTTATATGATATAAATTTAGAAAATTTTTTCTTTATTTATTGTATTTGTTGAATTTATTAATGTATTCGTAAATATTTATTATAGAATTACCATTTCAAAGACCTATTATAAGTGGATTAAGAAATAAATATCGTATAAATGACGTCTTGAAGCTTAGTTGTTCTTCAAGTTATAGCAGACCTGCCGCAAATTTAACATGGTATATAAATAATAATCAGGTAAATTATTTTTTAATATATTTTTTTATTTTATCATACTATTATTTTATTTTTATTTTATTTTTGGAAAGCAAATAAAAATATATACATATCAAATAATGAAAATGAAATTGGTTTTATAAAAAAATTTTAATATATTTTTAGATACGCTATATTATAACTTTCATTATAACTTTGTGATATCTAATGACCACTTTTAAATATTTTTAGAAATATTACATGGTCTGTGATATATTAAAAACTAGAATAATCATTATTTAATTCGAATTCACTGAAATAAAGCTATTACTTATCGTATGGAATTGTATATATCTTACTTTAAATTTTTAAAGTCAATTCTAAATATTGTTAAACATGTTAAGATAATTAAATATGTTTAAATTATTTGAATTAATTCTCAGAACTAGTTGAGTTTCTAAAAATATTGAACAAACTATTGACTAACATCTTGGTTTATTCCTCTTAATAAAGAGGAACGTAATATAATTGAATATGAAATAAAATGGTTCTTTTTATTTTACCACTCTTCGTACAAAATAGTGACAAGATAATATAGGCTTAAAAATATCAGTTGCTTATTGTTACTTCATAAATACATAGTGAATTTAAAAGGTATAATTTAAAATTTAAATGCTTTAAAAATGTGCTATTAATATTGAATGGAGTATATAGATAAATTATAGCTGCAGGCTTATTATAGATACATTGTTGTGTATCTTACACATTTTATTTACACATTGAAAATTTTATTAGATTACAGAGTTAATTTAATCTTAAGTTAACATATATGCCATAATGAAACATTAGTTTTGAAGAAAATAAGTTTCTTTGACATTGTTCGGGATTGAAGCAGTATCCACGAAGTTAAAACAAAGAAAGGCACGCGCGCTCGGCCTCTTATTTATAAACACGACTCGACGAGTACGAGCATGTTTTTGCGATGTAAAATCCAATATACTATAAGATCGCACAAAGAAACACCTATGAAACTTCTAGAAGCTTCGTTTTCCGACGTCACAAAGAAGTTTTCGGCATAGCGATAAGCAGCGGCATTATTGCCGACGTTGCATGGTGCAGCATGTATATTTAAGGACAGCTCGCCATGCGGTGATGCTCATTGTGATTCTACTTCTCGTTCACTCATCTGTTATTACTACTCAGTGTGTTTTAGTATATACTGCGACTAAGACACGTGGCCGCATGTTCGGCAGCCAACCTAAAAATGCTTCTGCATTATCAAAAACAGTCAGCAAGAACAGGTAGCGATTTAACAATGAAGCAATTAGAATCGTAATCAAATAGGGGCACGCCAGCCACGCAGCCATTCAACATGCTCTGTCGGTATTTTACAAGGTACATCCCTTTATATTATTTAAACAAGCTAGTCACCCACGCGCAAATCAAGTTTCATATAACTTCTATTCAAAGAGTCGATACAGGTGATAGAGTACGCTCACTCAGACTAACAATTCTGATAACGTACATTCCCCTCGATACAGTCGTTACAGGTGGCGCAATACGCTTTCGCAGGCAAACAAGCCGGAGAACGTAGGTTCACCACACTACAGTCGACAGGTGACGCAATACGCTCTCGCAGGCAAACAAGCCGGATAACGTATGTTATTGAACGTAGTGAAATACGTTCAATTACATTGTCAAGGCCAAACAACAGTTTAGCAAATAATCGACTATAATATATTTTTATCAAGTCCTTCAGAGCTCAAAGGCTTATCATTAATTATTCTTACGTTTGACTAGTTTTCAACTACTCCCATCCGCACTAGAGGCATAATTGATTACGTACCAATTTCCACCCAGACTACTTACACTCTACTAAGTATGATTATTGTCTCTACTAAGCACACTTTATTTCAAACACCATCTTCTCGTGCTCATTCATGAGCATGATCGACTGCACAGTCTGATCCTTATAACATCAACATCAATCTTCACATTAAGATCCACATTAATCTCCATAGCATTAACGAGATCACCATTACCCAGAAGAAATAACCTCACCACGGCAATAGAATATTTTCTCTTCTCTAACCTATCTATACTATCTCACCTATATTTTACCACAATAATAATATATTGTACTTAATTTCAGCTATTCCACTTGTTATTTCCTCAACAGTCATCATGATGACAAACTAATCCACTGAACTATTGAATTGGCAGTTCGAGCTAAACAAACCCGCAATAAACGAACAGACATGAAAAATAATACCTGTATTATTTATATAAAGTAGCATCAATATGTTGTTATTTTTAGAAGATGTAGTAATTAATATTAAAAATCTAATAATGTGTACTGATCTGTTCGGAAAATAATCCCACAATTTGACTAGTCAGCCAAACGTGCAATAATTAACGTAGAACAATAAAACCCACTAGATGTTATGTGGGGTTGCCGGGCAAGTAAAGGGTGAATGCACTGATTAATAATTAACACATGTCTTTATTATTTCTATTTATTTGAATTGATTTACAAAAGGGTGAATTACAGACGAACTTTATATTTCTTGATAATCTTGTGGTGTTGAAATATATTTACTATGAATGAAGCAGGTTATAATCTATTGAATATTATCGCTAAGAGGTTATCATGATTGTAGTGCTCTGATCAAACACTGGAATGCCATTGTGTTTATCTTAACACGTGTGTAGTTGCCTTTAAATATCGGTCGTAAGAGAGCCGAGATGGAGGTTATGCGAAGCTGTGCGCCATCTGTGGCGGGAACAACTTGCAGTTGGAGGGATTGAGAAGCCAATGTGGCGTTTATAGCTGGTCTTGTTCAAGAGTATGTCCGGGAAGCTTCCGTAGTTGGACTTTATCCGTCCGTCTTCTACATAAGCCGAGAAATCAAGAATGAGTACTAGCTGTAAGGACTTACTTGCAGTGTATCGTGATTTTCCAGTCTCTCTTCGATGGCTTGTTATTACGTTCCCTTGCAATGTTGCAACCCTTCAGTTCTTCCTTGTCTCCAAGTGAGACCACAAGTGGTCAGGTCCCACGCAATCCAGTCTTGATGAGATCAATTCAACTGTACACTAATTCACAATAGTGGAAAGAACTTATTATTAAAACTCAGCTAGCTAAACGACTCATCTCTCCGGTCCTCCTCCGTGAGAGTTGGTCGTGACTTATCCTTCACTGTAAGAAGTATTTGGAAAGAGTAAGTGAGGGTACATTACGTAGTCCCTTCTTAAAATGATTCACTGATCCCGCTCCACTTGGGATCCCTTCTTCCTTTATTAATTAACCAATCAGTGGTTGATCTTGGGTCGCACAATAGATTATGCACGCCTTCATTTCCACTTCCTTCCGGGCTCAGTTCCGAATTTGCTAATTGGGAAAGTGTCGGAAGGTGGCGAGCCTTTTCCATTGGTCACCTCTCTTTGGTTGCCTCATCCCTCTCTGGGACTTGGCTAGAAGAAGGGTCCGCTTGGGCGTCGTCAATTTTCCAATACGATCGACCAGATGTGGCATAGCCAAGAACAATGCAAGCATTGTCTTAAAGGCCGAGTGCGCATGTATGGTCATTGCACGTTGTTGCACGTACGGGTTTTGGGTTGCAGTAAATATTTGTAATCAATGCTTCACGCATATCTGATATTCGTTCTGAATCTACTTTGGGGTTTTCCCGGCAATAAACCCATTAGGTTCTACTGCACTGGGAGTATGAGCACGTTCCGTTAGAGTTTTCCAGATATTTTATGACACTAGTACAAATAATTATGAGCAGGAAAGTATTGAAGTCTTAAATACAATTTTCATGACATTACTTGTCAGATATTTTATTGCCTTACTAAACGGAGTCGCTTATTCTCAAACATAATCTTATAAACAGTCATAAATATAAGTATTAATAGGAGTTATATTAGTTATTAATTTTTATATTATATAATAAATTTGTTATAAATTATGATATTTCTAGGCAACAGAATCATTTGCTAGTATTAAATATATAAATAACACTGAACAAAATATTTCAATGAGTACTTTACAGTTCCAAATAAAATCTGATTCGTTTTATAATGGAACTTTAAAAATTCGATGTAGTGCATCAATATATGATATTTATTGGCAAAGTACAGAAGTAAGTGCAGAAGAAGATAAATTAAAAATTACATACATTGAACCAATTAGCAATGTTATTGGTATTAATTATCATCAACCTCCACCAAATTTTCAACTTGGACAAACAAAACTTGATGGAGAAATAGATATAAAAGGTAATGGTTTTCATATTATAAAGTACAATAATTGAATCATATAATTCTGTATTGTTTATTCTGATCTTATATGCTGTTAATTTTTCTATTAATAACTTAATTGTACCTTTAAAATAATTTAGGTTCATAAAATTAATTATTAGAAACAAATAGTGTAATTCATTCTTAATAACTATTTTATGTTCATAACATAAAATCTTACAAAGTTTTAATAAACCAATAAGAAATTAATAGGGAGTTTATTTAAAAGCGAAACATCAAAATTTACATACAAATTAAAAAAAAAATTTTCTTTTAGTACACATTCAACTTTTTTGAAGTGTATATATTTGTTTGAGAATGCGAGAACGCTTAAAATGCAATAAAACATCTGGGAAGCGACATCGTGAAATTCACATTAGGATTCAAACTTTTCTGCTCATAATTGTTTGTACTAGTGTCATAAAACATCTGGAAACTCCAGTGGAACGTGCCTTTGCTTTACAGAGCAGTGAAACAAATAGGTTTTATTACTGGGATAACCCTTCAGTAGATTCCGAACGAATATCACTCGATACATGAAATATCGAGTACAAAACATTTCTTAAATTCATTGCAACCCAAAAATCCCGAACGTGCGCCAACTTGTATTAATCGTACGTCCGCTTAGACTCATTAAGACAACACTTGCATTGTTTTCTGTGTGATTCACATCTGGTCGGTCGCCACCGAAAAAGACCACGCCCAAGAAGACCCTTCATCTAGCCAAGTCCCAGAGAAGGGAGAAGCAATCAAGAAGAGATGACCAATAGCAAAAACTCCCCACTTCCGACATTTCTCTGATTAGCATATTCGGAAATGAATTCGGAAGGAAGTGGAGATGAAGGCGTGCATAATCTATTGTGCTGCTTTAGAACGACCTCTGATTGGTTAATTAATAGAAGAAGGAGTTCCTAGCGGAGTGGGACCAATGAAGCGTTTAAGATAGAAAAATGTAATGTACCGATACGAACACTTACTCTTTCCAAATACTTCTTACAGTACAGGATAAGTCACGACGTACTCTCACGGAGGAGGACCGGAGAGACAAGTCGCTTTAGCTAGCTGAGTTTTAATAAGAAGTTCTTTCTACGATTGTGAATTAGTATACAGTTGAATTAATCTCATCAAGACTAGATTGCATAGGACCTGACCACTTGCAATCTCGATTAGAAATCAGGAAGAACCTTAGAGTTGCCACATTGCAAAGGAACGTAATAACAAGCCAACGACGAGA